TAACTTAAAAACCATTGGTCAGACCTCGATCAATTTTACCGTTTAATTACCATTATTTTAATTTTATATGGGACCACATGTAAAGTACCAGCTTCCAAATAAAAAAAGAATCATCGAAATCGGTCCACCCAGTAAAAAGTTATGAGGTAAATCCATAAATAAAAAAAAACATACAGTCGAATTGAGTACCCTCTAGAATAGAATAGAATAGAATGATTTTTATTCAATATGGATTATTACATAATACTTATTGAAAGTCATTATTTTATTTACCACTGGTTCGGAAAATACATCTGTCCTGGGAAGAAACAGCAAGAAACCCAGCGGGACGTTTTTTTTAAACATAATTTCACTTAACAATAATTTTGTTTATACAATTTTAAATGAATTTTCATAGAACCAGCATGGTGGCGATCACCTTATTCGCAGGGGTTATTTGCATTCATGTATTCCATCATATTATAATATCCCTTTTTGTACAGTTTTTCTTTAATAAAACTTTTAAACTTGTTTATTGACAAACTTTGAACATGTTCTGGGATTTTGTTGTAAAAGCGTATACATTGCCCCATAAATGAATTACTAATTCTGTGGAGTCTAGTAAGTGGCATTACATTGTACAGCTTATGTTTGTTCCTAGTGTTTAAGGTATGAACATCCTTATTCTTATTAAAGCTATTTATTTTTTTATGTACATACATTACATTTTCATAAATATATTGCGATGCCAAAGTTAATATGTTTATTTCTTTAAAATTTTCTCTGAGGGACTCTTTACAATTTAGATTATAAATCGCCCGTACGGCTCTCTTTTGCAAAACAAATATAGCTTCAATATCAGTCGCATTACCCCATAGCCAAATTCCATAAGACATTACGCTATGAAAGTAACTAAAATACACTAACCTAGCTGTCTCAACATCTGTGAGACTTCTAATCTTTCTTACAGCATATGCTGAAGAACAAAGTCTGCTTGCTAATTTAGATATATGGGGGCCCCATTGAAGTTTCGCGTCAATAGTAATACCGAGAAAAACAGTGGTATCCACAAGACTCAACTCCTCCCCATTTAAGAGCACATTGGTTTTCGAATGTTTTATAGGTATTGTAAATTTAATACATTTTGTCTTATTGCCGTTTAAGAGCAAATTGTTGGTGTTAAACCAATGTACTAGTTTCGATAGAGCATTATTTACATCGTCATATTTAATTGACTGCCGTTTCAGTTTTAAAATTAAAGAGGTATCGTCAGCAAATAATACTGTATCGTGATTGTCCCCTACAAGATAAGGTAAGTCATTAATATAGATTAAGAACAGGAATGGGCCAAGAATCGAGCCCTGAGGAACGCCCTTTGATACTACCGATCCGGAGGAACATTTACCATTGATGACGACTTTTCGAGTTCTGTTACTTAAATATGAAGTAATAAGTCTAAGCGCCAAATTTTTACACCGTAATGTTGTAGTTTTCTGATTAATGTATCATGATGAACACAATCGAAAGCCTTGGAAAGGTCACAGAAAATACCTAAGGCATCTTGTGAATTCTCCCAGGCATTAAAAATATATTTCAAAAGCTCAACACCGGCGTCAGACGTCGAGCGACCCCTTGTAAAACCAAATTGATTTTTATGAAGTAATTTATTTGTATTAAAAAAATTAACAATTGATCCAAAATTATTTTTTCAAAAATTTTACTGAGAGTTGGTAGTACAGAAATAGGTCTATAATTAGCGGGGTTCAATGTACTACCAGATTTAAATAAAGGTATTACTTTACTATACTTCATTAAATCAGGAAACACACCAGAATCGATACAAGTATTAAAAATAATAGCAAGATGAGGTGCAATTAAATCTATTATGGACGAAATCACTGTAACGGAAACCCCCCACAAATCTGCGGTTTTCTTTACATCAATGGTTTTGAAGTATTTTACAATATTATGTGGTAATACTTTTTCAAATCTAAATTCTTTTAAACAGGTATTAACATTCTGTTTAAGTAATGACTCGGTGACAGTTGGAGAAGTATTCAATGACTCTGTTGTAACATCAGTGAAATATTTCTCAAACACCGTTGCAACTTCTTGATTTGATTTAGTCAATTCATTATTAATTTTTAATTGATAGTTTGAGTTACGAGGTTTCTCTGTACCGGTTTCGCTGTTAATTATACTCCACGTCATTTTAATTTTATTCTTAGCCGTCTTAATTTTGTTACTAATATGTAATGATTTGGCTGTGGAGCAAACTCTTTTAAACATTTTAGAATAATTTTTTACATATTCTTTAAAAGCATCGGAAAGATTATACGATCTTTCATGGTAAAGGTCATATAACCTTCGTCTGCTTTTATGAATTCCTACTGTCGCCCACTCATTAAATGCCTTGCGACTGTATTTGGAGAATGTTTTAGAAGTGAATGTTTTATTAAATTCATTGTTTATAAAGGTAAATAATTCTCTATATAAATAGTCTGTATTGTTCTTATAAGAAAGGGATGGAAGGATTTTTACCATATTACTTCTAAATCTCTCCAGGCGTTTTGCATTAATAGGAACAAACACAATTTTCTCAATTACCTGTATTTTGTGCATATAAGGTAACGAAACCAGTTGTCCACAGTGATCTGAACTAAGTTTTTGAATAATTGATTTGTTGATTGGTACAACACCTGTAAAAATATTATCAATACAAGTTGCACTACACCCTGCAATACATGTAGCTCCAAAGAATAAATTATTAAGATTATAGGATTTGAACAAAGAACAAAATTTAATACTGATGGAAGAAGTTTCCAGGAGATTGATATTAAAAGTCTCCACACACTACAAGAGATTTATTCTGTTTATTAAGCTTAACTAAAACTTCTTCCATAATTTTTTGAAAGGTATAATTTGAACATGGGGGTCTGTAAACACTGACAACAATAAGCTGCTCAACCTCAACACATGCCATTTCTACAGTACGCTCAACAGAGAGGCTCACAATGTCTTTACGTTCTTTACGTGATAAGGACCTATTAGCTAATATTAAGGAGCCACCACGTAATTTAGTATCTCTATTGAACGAACTGACCACCTGGTGATTACTGAAATTAAATATGGAGTTGTAATCTTTCAACCAATGTTCTGTAATACATAAAATATGTATACTGTTACTATTTAAAATATAATTCAATTTCTAATTCTTTGCCTAACATACCTTGTATATTTTGATGCACCAGGTTGATTCAGTTTTTATTATTGTTATTTTGTAAAATTGCATAATTATGTATTGGTAAGTTGCATTCTAAGCTATTTAAATTATCTTTGCTAGAGATTACCTCTATTGTCTTATTATCTAAGTCTCCTTTTTGAAATCGGTAGAAAATATTATATAATGCCTTTGTTCGTAGCACTTTTGAGTATTGTAGCGTAGTATGGAGACCGCACTATGCTACCCATTATTTGCGGCTGGAAAGGATACAGAAGAGATTTCTTTGGCACCTGGCGTACTCTTCTGGAATGGGACGAAGGGACTTTTCTTACTCTTACTCCTACAGACTAAAACATTTTAGTATGGACTCTCTTGAAAAACGCAGAGCTATTATCGACCTAACTTTAATTTTAAAATTTTAAGAATTAAATACAGTAAATTTTAAAAAGTCAAATAGACTGTGCCCACATCTAAGTTACTTTGAATTTAGGGTGCCCAGGACACTCCCGCGAGCTCCCATTCTTCTACTTGCTCCTCCATTTCGTAGGACTTTGCTTGGTATCAACTTTCCTGCAGTTAGGTTAAGTAAACTTTATAATGGGGTCAGTAGCCGGACTGATATAAAATTTGTTTCTTCGTATAAGTTTCGCAGGTACTTGTTAGATACAATTTCAAATGAAGTGTTTTTTTTTGTATACTTATTACACATAAAATCTAAATCACTGGTTAAAACTTGTTTTAAAATGTTTTAATTTTTTTTATTAACATAATATGTAAATTAAGATTTTAATTATGATTTAGCGGTGTTCACCTGTAAGTAATTGTGCAGTTATTATAAGACTTTATTATACACGTAGATTTAGTATGTTCAATTGTAACAATTGTAGGTAGACCTTTTTTAAGTAAATAAATAAAAAATAGTACAAATTCAAACGACAAACACACGAATGGTTTAGGCAAACACGAGTGAGCGGCAAAGCAGACTAGTAACTACTGCAAAAAAAAAATGCTATCTCGCCTTGTCGCGCCGATACTTAGATTCGATCGGGTCGCCGCGATGGTGCCGTGTGACGCGTAGGCACTAGAGAGGCGCGAGAGTACGTGGATTTTAAAAGTTGGAATAGGTGCAACCTAGTCTCGTTAAATACTCAGTGCCTAGATCTGTTCTAGTCATGGAAATACATGTACTTCGTACGCTTCATCTCTATTCAGCTACATTAAGGTACATTTTCACTGTCACAGATATATTTGCTATGTTTTATGGCAATCAGAAACAGTTCGTAAGGCTTTTTTTCTTATAATGTTTACAATTACCCTGCCTGACCCCATAAGAATTTTATTCTTATTTTAGGACTCTCCCTATGCTAGTATTTTTCCTTGTTTGCTCTAAGCTAGTAATTACTCTAAGATAAATCCACTGACTTAGAAGTATATATCTCTATGGATAAATCTATGCGACAAACCGGTGTCAAACTGACAGGTGTTGAAACCGTTCATAAACTAGGTACATTTCAAAATTATGAAAATTCGTAATAAATAATTGCGAAACTTTTTAAAATAATAGGTAGTTCATTATAGCATATTATTATATTATATATGAATTTAGATAATTGATATGGCATATTGTAAAAACAAGTTAGTAATAACCATTTATTGAAAATTAATTTTTGCGCTTTTGTTTGTTGTTATTTTGAACGCAATGTAGCCACTTCCACTTCATTTATCAAAATATTGTTGCTGAAAAATTTCTATGTAACTATCAATGTAGAATTAATCAGATATAATATTCCCCATTATCATGGAGGATGAAATTGATGAATGTATCAGAAATCGAATTCAATGGCCTCAACTACCTACAGGTGTAAAGAAGGTAAAATATTCCTAGCAGGAGGAGTTATTTTACCTCGTTTATTTCTATCTGATATTTTTGCAATATATACGTAGGGTATGGCTTTTAGAAAAGGTTAAGCTCTTCTAAATGATTAAACAAATTGCTAGGTTATTATAAGTAATGTTTATGGCATTTTTTTATATTTAATATAAATATTGTAGTTATTATTACATATCTGAAATAATGCTTGTTGCAGCTCTTGGGTGATTCTCCTAAAGAATATGAGAGATACATTTTTGAGTTTAGTATTAAAAACCAACTGCGCTACAGAGGTAGTCTTGGTAAGTTATAATTATAAAAAACAAATCTTTAAGTATTATTGTTTTAATAATTATTTTTCTTGAACGTTTAACATTTCACATATTTTCGTAATCGTAAGGATTGTGTTCCTGTTTGAAATAATAGAGTGCTGATCTAATTATAGACTGTGGTGTTCCTTTTTTTCCTCACAGATAATAATACTTTCTCTAATCATCTTAACTGATGGCTTCGCTATGATTCTAGGCAGTGCCGTCTTTAGGATCAACGAGGCTATGGGCCAAGGTACTGGCTGGGGCCTATGTAAGGGATGGAAAATCCTTAAATTTTAACTTTATCATTTTTCAGTTTACAATAACGCAATAGGCTAAATCGTAACCCCGTCTCTTAACACCCCACATATGAGAGTTCAATAAATAAATTTTTTGAATCTAAAAAACTAATACCCCACCAATTCTAATTTAAATAAAATTGAATGAAAACCATATATTATAATCTATACAAAGAACAATACTTATATTTATTCATATACAAATATATGAAAGTGACGTCATCCGTGACATCATAGCCTATAACAGCATTGGTTAGCGAGCCACTGCATACCAAGTCTATAACTACAGCGCGATGCTGCGCCGAATCTTGTTTAATAAACAAGGGCTATCGGTTTTTCTTCGAGGAAGTGCCGTAAACTGTCCCCGCTGTATTAGATCGGACTACAATATTTCGTCGTTCCAGATCGACCTCAGTTCTCAATGGCTTCTCAAACGAACACTTGGCATTTCAACTTATTTCTTAATTCATTTTTACTTTACAACTAACTTATTTGCTTTGTTTTAAATACCCGTAATTTTAGCCATGCATACATTTAATTTCTTACAATTTACAATTTTCGTATATTTTAATTTCTTTAAACAAACGATTAAATGTAATGTTTATAATGCCATGTAAACGTTTTCTCAATTACAATATTCAAACTAACGCGCCAAAATCTTCATTCGGATTCTTACGCATGCGCGCTCTTGCGCGCAAGCAGAAGCGCGATTATTTTGAAAGAAACTTGTTTAAGCTTGCTTTTGTTTTTGGTGAGAAAATGAATAGTCAACGTCCGTGTTTCGACATGTGAAACAGCCAGCAGGTTCATTACCAGATTTGCACGCGATGTAGCAACAGTTAATTTAGTATTGTTTATGGAATCATTTGAAGTACATCAAAATCATGAATCGTGTTTATGAAAGTGGTGCTGCAAAAAAACGAAAACCGAAAGAAGAACAAAAGAAAATAGACAAGTTACCAAAAATTACTGGATTTTTAAAACAAGATGACATTACTAGTAAGTAATACTATATATTATTTGAATTAAGAGTGATTAGTTCATTAATTGAGTCCTATAACCTCATTGTTGTTCGCATGTAGCAAAAGTTTTTTTATGAAAAGTCGATTTAATATCATTTTTATGAAATTAATTTATGAAACAAACCGTGCTAACAGTATGATAATAAGATCATTGCATTTTATTTATTAGGCAAAAATGATGAAACGCCAAAAGGTACCGCTGATTTACAGGAAAATGTTATTCAAAACGAATCAGTCGATTTGAATCCTTCAGAACAGTCGGAATTATCAGTAGCTACACAAGTTCTTATAAATCATAGAACAGAAGGTAAATAAAGAGTTTCAAATTGTAAATATTTAGATTCTAAAAAAGCTGAATAATTTTAAATATTTTTTTCAATTAAAAGCGATTTACAAACATATATTTTATTTTAATAGAGGAGGCAGCATTGAGAAGCACGTCAGAAAAAATTGAAAGTTATTCGACTGATATTGCGTTATGGGGCGAAATCAACGAGAAGTTACGATTATACTGGTTGCAAAAAAATCCAGGTTTATGCAGCAATAAGGATAAAGATTTCTCAAAATCTGCACGGATTTACCAAGAAGGAGATAAACAAAAAGTGAGAACTCTAAACAAATCATTATTTCAATTGAAACTACAAAATAATGAAATAGTAGAGCGTGAGTGGTTATCGTATTCGCCATCAACTGGACGTATATATTGCTTTGTATGTCGACTTTTTTCATCTGAAAAAGATCAATTTACATTTTACGGATTTAATGATTGGAAACACCCAGAGCGAATTACGGAGCATGAGCAAAGCAAAGCTCATAAACAAACTTTAACTATTTATTCTAAACGGAGAAGAGAAACTGGTAGTTTAGAAAATGCATTAACGATTCAACAAAAAAATGAGAAAAATTATTGGATTCAAGTATTACGTCGAATAACTGACACTATAAAGTTTCTTGCTTCACGAGGTCTCGCTTTTCGAGGGGAGAACGAACGATTCGGATCTAGTCAAAATGGCAATTACTTAGGTATTTTAGAATTACTGAGCGAATATGACCCTTTCCTTAAAGAGCACATTAATACCTACGGAAATAAAGGACATGGAGTAACATCATACTTATCAGCTAATATTTGTGAGGAATTTATAGGCCTTATGGGGGAAAAAGTTCTTGCTTGCATTATAAGTGTGTTGAAGAAGGCAAAATATTATTCTTTTTCTGTGGATTCTACGCCGGACATCACTCATCTAGATCAATTAACGTTCACCGTGCGCTACGTTACCGATCAGGGGCCTATCGAACGTTTTTTAATGTTCGTTCCTATAGAAGGTCATAATGCTGAATATTTAACAGAGGTTGTAGTCAAATTTTTTAAAGATAATGATATTGATATAAATGACTGTAGAGGTCAATCTTATGACAACGCATCGAATATGTCTGGACGCTATTCAGGACTGCAAACCAGGATAAGGGAAATCAATAAGTATGCTGATTATATTCCTTGTGCCGGGCACTCGTTAAATTTAGTCGCCGTTAAGGCAGCTGAATGTGTTAATGCAGTCGTTAAGTATTTCTATATCGTACAAAATTTGTACACATTTTTATCAGGATCGACTTATAGATGGCAAAAACTATTGTCATATTTAGGAACGAAAAAAAAAGTCGTTAAATCTTTATCCGCTACTCGATGGTCAGCCCGAGCTGATGCAATCATCGCTCTTTTCACAGGTCATACAGATATTACGAAAGCTCTAGATGATTTATCAAAGGATGATACGCAGTCTAACGAGACTAGACTTGAAGCTAAGACCATTTTAAAGCAAATTACAAAATTTGAAAATGTCTTTATAACTGTGGTATGGCACGAAATCTTGACACGTATTAATGATACATCTAAAAATTTACAAAAAGAAAATATGGATTTGTATATAGCATGCAGTCTTTTAAATTCCTTAGAATTGTATTTATTGGATATCAGGGATAAATTCGATGAGTTTTTAGAAAAAGCAAAAAGCTTTACTGATATCTGCGAAAGTGAATCTACATCTGAGCCAAGAAATCGAAGAAGAAGCGTAAAACTTACTCGCTTTGAAGGAGAGAGTGAACATACACAATTTACTGGAGATGAAAAGCTCAAAATAGAGATTTTTTATCCGATAATCGATTCACTTTGTTCCAATTTGAAAACCAGAAAAACTGCTTACGAAACGGTGAATGATAACTTCAAGTTTTTTACTGCTCTACCAAACATGACATACGAAGGAATAAAAGAATGCTGCGAAAAGCTTGCCAGAAAATATGATCAAGACATTTCTGCAGAAAATTTAATATCAGAATGTTTACATTATAAACATTATCTTCGTGATACACGAAAGAACGAAGAATTATTTATTCCTGATCTATACTTGCAACTGAAGAAACAATTTCTGACGTCTACATTCCCAAATATTGAAATAAGTCTCCGAATATTCCTTACCCTAATGATCACCAATTGTGCTGGTGAACGATCATTTTCTAGATTAAAGTTGATAAAATCCGATCATCGAAGCACAATGTCACAGTCACGATTGAATCATCTAAGTTTAATGAGTATAGAATCGGACTTATTAAAATCGATTGATTTTGATGAACTCATATCTAATTTTGCTGCGAAGAAATCGAGAAAAAAAGTTTTTAAGCTGTATATAATTACTGTTATTTTAGTGCAAAAATAAATTTTTAAACAAATTTTCTAAATCTTGTTTCTATTTTACCAAGTGTGTGATTTGATATTTTTTTATTATCTTATAAAATTTGTTGTTGTATATCGAAAATTTTCAGAATTGTGGGGCCCCTGCCTACCTCGGGGCCTCGGGCCAGGGCCCTGCGGGCCCTGCCTTAAAGACGGCACTGATTCTAGGCACAAATTTCAGCCTAGGATATCTTTAGAGTTCACAAATAATTTATATTTTGGGCAATGTGGTTTTAAGGTAAACAACAACAACCGTATAATGTAAAAATATATCACTATCACTATAACCCATTAGAATTCCACTGATGAACGTAGGCCATATAGGTATTTCTACTAAGTACAGTCCTACAGTCCCAGTACCAAAGTAGGCTTAGCTTTCCATTGACGTCAGTGGAGTTTGGTGTTGATACGTATTTTTACAGAAAGATTACACTATTATAAGCACACACACAAAGTCTCAATATACGGAAACGCGTAACTTTTGAGAAAAGAATAATTGAAAATCAATTATTCTTGCAATGTTTATGTCTAATCTGCTAATAAACTGGCGCCATTTTGTAATGTCATTGTCGACGTCAATAGGGATGTCGATTCTTTCCGAAAAAGGTCGATTTTTAAATCGATTCAACTCGTAAGCTGATGTATCGGTTCACAAAAAATCGATTTCGAAAATATCTATATTTTTTTAATGTTTCTATTTATAATGTAAATATAAACCCATTTTATGAAAAACAAAAAAGATACCATGATAAATGATCTCTTATTAAAATTTGTTTTATTTAACAGTACCTATTAGGGCAGATAACAAATTAAATAGGTTAGGTTCAACTTACGTCAAAGAACCGAATTGATTGACCCCGACTCCACCTGGTACGAGTCTGTCCTACCCCTAGAGTGGTTTTATAGAGCCGGAGGCGCGTAGGGGGAGCAGCCTCCGCCTGCTGTAACAAATCGTAGGCATCGGACGAGCCGGAGCGGCTGAGGCTGGTCGCCGAAGGCGACCAACAAGCCGAAGCTGCGGAGGCGAGGAGGGATGCCTGCGATTTGTTACGCTAAGGCGTAGAGGTTGCTCTTCCCGCAGCGCCGGAGACGTAGCAGTCTCAAAATAGATACAGAAATCCTTATGAATCAGTCCCCTTATTTTTTTATGATGAAGGGGATTTTTTTCTCATAAAATGGACTTATATTTACATTATAAATGCAAACATGAAAAAATATCGATATTTTAGAAATCGATTTTTTCGGGAATCGATACATCAGCTTACAATTTGAATCGATTTAAAAATCGACCTTTTTCGGAAAGAATCGACATCCCTATTGACGTCAACAATGACATTACAAAATGGCGCCAGTTTATTAGCAGATTAGACATAAACATAGAATAATTGATTTTCAATTATTCTTTTCTCAAAAATTACACGTTTCCGTAGATTGAGACTTTGTGTGTGTGCTTATAACAGTGTAATCTTTCTGTAAAAATACGTATCAACACCAAACTCCACTGACGTCAATGGAAAGTCGTACCTGCCAAAATGCTATACATATGAGTTTGTGTACTTTGGGTCTGCTAAGGGAACTAATAATCTTCAGCTCACCAGATGTTCCTGGTTGGGACTATGGTGAAGTTGCATTTTATGTAAATGTGTATTTTGATTTATTGTGTATGTATGTGTAAAATGCCTGAGTGATCTGCTCTTTATTATTTTTCTTTTGCTCATTTTATAACTCTACTTTTTATTCTCTTACTTTAGGAATGCGGTTACTTTGGTTTATCAATTTTTAATAATGTAATTAATATTTCAGAAAGAAACATTTATCACAACACTTTTCTAAAAAATTTGGTTCCCTGTCATTAAATCTGTGAAATATTTTATCTCATACTAAAGAGCCGCCATTCTGGTGGCCGAAAAAGTCTGGATGCCATCTCATTCTGTCATCTTTAAATATATATATAATATTATATGAATACTAGCTGACCAGGCAGACGTTGTTTTGCCCTTTCCGACGATCATTATTTTCATAAAAAAATCTGCAAAAAAAAATTGAGGGTCGGGATAAAAACTATCTTATCTCTCAAGTTGGACCAAACTGAACACAGTGTGCAAAATTTCATTAAAATCAGTTCAGTGGTTTAGGAGTTCATCATGGACAAACAATGCGACAATGTAATTTCTATATATAACTAAAGAAATTTCTTTATCTTCTTGCAGTGCGGACAGTTCGTAAAGATGAGAGAAAGTATTATGAGGTCCTTGTGCAGAGCAGTATACAGAGGCTCATGCTCTATCCCTATCACCTAGCAGACATGATTGTGAAGGGTAATGTAGAAAACTATTTATTAAGCTTGTCTAATAAAATATGTTTTGTCTGACTGTTCATTCATATAAGTTGGTGACTTTGTAGTATAATGCTCTATATACCCAGTGAATGCACAGAAGATTGAGTCTACAACCTAGCTGACACCATTAAAAGTATTTGTGACATTTCAAGTGTTAATTTATCACATGCTATGTGCAATAAAGGGAAACATTGAGCAAAACTACAACAAATGCATGTCTGAGAAATATTTTGAGAACATATAAACATATAAAGTCCACTTAATCGTACTGGAGTCATGCAGCAGATTCACTTCCGCTCTATTATATGTTACTCTCTGAGCAGGGTTGGATCTATATATTATGGATTTTTTGGGCTGCAGCCCTGGGCCCCATGGATGTAGAGGGCCCCCACATATTGCATACAAGCTATCAGAGCTTTAAAAATAATTATGATGATATTATGAAAATTATAAAATTAAAGAAAAAAGAAGATAAGAAACTTAATTTTCAAAAAGAGATACATCAGTATCAATAAAAAAAATTTTTTTTTGAGAAAATGGCCATTAATTTGTTTAATTAGGTAGGCCCCTAAGTGGTATTAGCCCAAGGCCCCAGTTATTCGTGGTCCGCCCCTGTCTCTGATAAATATTAGGAAGCCTGTGCCCAATTATGGGGGTGTATGTAGATTGTTACTTTATTTTTTTTTAGTTAATATTTGTTTAATTAGGTTTACTTATAATTTAGCATAGAAATTGTTAATATAATATAATATACATAAAATCATTTCCCCAGTGGGTCACTTATAGTTTTTTGTCACATGTATTTGTTATTAAACTTAAGCTCCTTGTTGCAGGATTAAGAATAACTCCATTTATATACTATGTGGAAGTAGTCGTCCTATTGATTGAAATGGAGAAAAGTTATGATACCATGCCTAATTTTACAGCTGCTGATTGTGAGTACAGAAATAAAATTTTAATCAAGTCAGATCAATCTATGAATAAAATGTTTTGAATAAATTATTTCATTAAAAAAAACTCATTTGAACTTAAAATGTTAACAGTACATTTCGTACATTGCGTAGTACTATTATTCATTCTGTGCTGTTAATTATGAGCCTTTCTTATTTTGGAGAGAGGATTTGGAGTGCCTGATCTCTTTTACCTTTGATGCTGTTTTTAGTTGCCACGAGAGATTTTATATTTTTTCTGGGTTGTTCCCTAAATAGCCTTGTATCAAACCATTTGAACTGATATGAACTTCTACTAACTATAAATCTACTAAGGCATTCAGGGCGTGATCTAAAAAAGCGTTCAGGGATTTGATGCAGGGACTTCTAGGTGGTAGGGCTCGTTTTCTGGCCTGGAGTCTGTCTGGGGAGGTTACCTATTTCTACCTCCAAATAGCACTGCTGTTTTCCAGTCAGAAGTGCATAGTCAGTATAACAACAGACTGAGATATTCCATCTTAATCCTCGGGGGTGACAATTGTCTGCAGTCTTTTTTGTTTCAAATAGATTTCAAGTATGGGCTGCACTAACTACTTATTATCAGGCAAACTGTAATTTTGTTTGTCACAGTTCAGTTTTATAAAAAATGGTGCCCGCATATGGCTTAAGTGATAATTTGTGGCAGTCTACGGTGGAAGTCTAATGAACTTGTGAAGTCTTATAACATTTTCAACGTGTTTTAGTTCCCTATCTACCAGGGATGGAAAAAATCATGATTTTTTAATTTGAATCAAATCATGCTGATTTTTTGAATGTTTTGATTTTTTTTTGTATATTTTTTAATTAATTAGTTGGTATCACTTTTTGACATAGTAGGTTTAAAAGTTTATGAATACATATGTATGAGTAAAATAATTAATACTGTATTAATTACAGTTCATATCTTTGGTTGATTTTACTAAGTTTATGAAACTGGCAGACCTCATTGCTACAGTCTTTGTTGATTTTCCAAAGCTTATGTGACTATTGTAGTAGAATAATAAGAATAACATAAAACGATAAAAGGTTTTACCTTATTTTAAGCCAGTTTTATTTCTTTTTCTGTCTATTACATTAATTTATACATGTTGATTTAAATCAATGATTTTTTTAATCAAAAACAAGCGATTTAAATCGTGATTTAAATCATGATTTAAATTGGTATGATTGAAATTAGCCAACCATGCTATCTACAATTTTAATATTTTTTCAGGTCTCCGTCTCCTAGGAATTGGGCGTAATGAATATCTAGAACTTATAGCTAAAGCGCGATCATTAAGAAGGCGTGGGCGGTCCAAGGCGATCCGTGCACTTCTGCCTCGAGTTCCCCTCAATATACCCATGCTTCCATGGTGGCGCGTTGAGTTAGGTTATGTCCTTGAAGAAGACGTAAAGGTGAATCTTAACCAAACTATGCTGCAAGTTTTTTGTAGTTTTTATTTTGCCGCCCTAACTTTATATAACTAACCTTTATAATCTGCCCCATCATAATTTGTCTTAATTAAAATTCGCCATCATATTTAGTAATCCTTAATATTATGATTATTTGCATTAATCACCATATTTTCCAAGTGATTTTGCGATTGTTGGCATGTTATTTGAGTTTGAGTCTGGAATTGAAATATTTTCCTTATTAAATTTATACTTAAAAACAGTTCATCGTCATCATCATTACATCCCATCACAAGTCCACTGCTGAACTTCAGAGTGGCATCCCTAAATAGATTGTCACAAAATATGGTCCTTAGCTACCTGCATTCATCATGAATGAGGACAAGGTTTTTTATCTGCGATATGTTTGACATTTTACTACTTCTGACAAACACAGAAGTTGTCATTGTTGTAAGATCGATTTTACGTGGTAGAGCCATGCTGCAGCTATATTAGTAGTATAGTTGTAGCACGAATTTGTCGGCTCGACCGGGACCACACTCTCGCAGAATACGTGTTTCGTATGGCGAGTGTAGAGAACCAGAGACTCTTTTTACTGGAAAAGAGGCATTCCATCTTAGTCCTCACGGGTGACGACGCATCTGCATTTTGATTCTTTATTGAGGATAAATGTAGATGTCTATGGGCCGCAGCAACCACTTACCATCAGGTGGACTGTGTGCTCATTTGTCACCCTTATCCTATAAAAAAAAGGTCATTCATCATTTTCATCAAACTAAAAACTATTAAATTTTGAACAATATAACTTCTTATTTTCTGACCATTCAGTATATTATGTATTCATAGCCTCTGAAGTGATCTATCTTACTCCTCAGAGGTTAGACACCTATAATCTTAGCTTGATTTTATTTACTAAAAATTGTGTGTAGTAACTATTGATATTATTTAAATGCAAGATGATATTGTTAAATAAATATTTGCTTAAATGCTTATTAATAAATTATATTTTTGTTTCCTTGAAAATAAACTGCAGTTTATTATGGTATTTTTTCAAAAGCCAAAAAAATTACTGTTTTTAATAACTCCATTGCTACTTTGCATCAACCTGCTTGTACATTACAGCCTTTAAGTGATAGCGAGAAGGCGCTAATTGATTTACTAATAGACCGCGGTTCGCAAACAGCTGGTACACTGGACTACAACATCGTCAAAACATTGTATAGGTGAGATTATTATGTATTTATGTGAAAAGACTTATGGTTATTTTAAGTAAGAAAAAAATAACTTCAAGCTATTATGTAAGCAAAAATGCAAAAATTATTTGTTTTAACTTTAAATCAATATCATCATCATCATCATCATTACAGCCTTTCATAAGTCCACTGCTGAACGTAGGCCTCCCCCAAGGAATGCCACAAAGCACGGTCCTGAGCCACCTGCATCCATCGACTTCCTGCATGCCTTACCAGGTCGTCACTCCATCTCGTGGGGGGTCGCCCTACACTTCGCCTACCGGTAAGAGGCTGCCACTCGAGAACCTTTCTTCCCCATCGGTTGTCGGTTCTTCGAGCTATATGGCCGGCCCACTGCCACTTCAGCTTACTAATCCGTTGGGCTATGTCGGTTACTCTAGTTCTACTGCAGATATCCTCATTTCTAAGTTTATCACGCAGAGAAACTCCGAGCATAGCCCTCTCCATAGCTCGCTGAGCGACCTTGAGCTTCCTCATACGGCCAGCTGTGAAGGACCACGTCTCAGATCCGTAAGTCATCACTGGCAACACGCACTGGTTGTACAATTTCGTTTTAAGGTATTGAGGTATGTCTGACGAGAAAATGTGTCGTAGCTTCCCGAACGCTGCCCAGCCGAGTTGAATCCGTCGATTGACCTCTCGGTCGAAGTTGGACTTACCTAGTCGGACTAGTTACATATACTACTACTAGACTAGTCGGTAAACATACTCGTCAACAACTTCGAACTTAGTGCTCCCAACAACTATCGGCATAGGTGTGACATGGACATTAAACATAATCTTTGTTTTGTCCATGTTCATCTTCAGACCTATCCGTTGGGAGACACTATTGAGGTCATTGAGCATAGTGCTTAGGTCCTCCAGCGATTCTGCCATAAGGACTATATCGTCGGCAAATCGAAGGTGAGTGATGTACTCGCCATTGATGTTGATACCGTATCCTTTCCAGTCCAGAAGTTTGAAAACGTCTTCCAATGCAGCGATGAAGAGTTTCGGGGATATGACGTCACCCTGTCTTACACCTCTCTGCAATTGGATAGGTTTCGTACTCTGGTTCTGTACTCGGATAGCCATCGTAGCTCTACTGTACAAACACTTCAACACTTCGATATACCGACAGTCAACTTGGCACCGCTGAAGGGACTGCAGCACCGCCCAAATTTCGACGGAATCAAAGGCTTTCTCATAGTCCACATACGCCAGACATAGTGGCAAATTGTACTCTTCGGACTTCTGTACAATTTGCCGAAGGGTATGTATATGTGGTCTATGGTGCTAAAGCCCTTTCGGAAACTGGCTTGTTCGGGAGGCTGGAAGTCGTCAAGTCTGCGCGCGAGACGATTCGTAATGACTCTCGAAAACAGCACGTAAACGCGGCTCAGAAGGGAAACCGGTCTGTAGTTCTTCAAGAAAGCGTTGTCACCTTTCTTGAAGAACAAGACCATCGCACTTCTGCTTCACGCCTCCGGTGTAATGTCACCATGGGGGATGGAATTAAAGAGCTTCTGAAGTACTTCAAGTACCGGTCTTCCACCCACTTTCAGAAGCTCCGCTGTAATTCCATCCTCGCCTGGGGCCTTACCGTTTTTAAGGTGCTGGAGAGCCATTCTAATCTCACTCAGACTGACGTCTGGGATATCTCCGGAATAGTGTCGGATGAGACTCGCTCTTGGATCGTTACTCACGCTTGCGTGTGGCTCCAACGATGACGTGTACAGCTGCCCATAGAACCTCTCAATCTCACTCAAAATCTCAGGTGTCCCAGAAACGATGCTGCCACATTCTGTCTTCAGCTTTGACAGTTGGCTCTTTCTGGCAGACAGATCTCTGGCAAAGACTTTGGAGCCTTGGTTCCGCTCGATCGCTTCTTCAATACGAGCTGTATTGAAGTTGCGTAAGTCCCGCCGCATGCATTTGGAGATCTGTCTGTTCAGATGCCCGTATGCTGTCAAGTCTGTTGTAGAATGTAGCTTCATCTCCCGTCTAACAGCCATGAGATTAAGAGTGCGATCGGAGAGTTTTTGTGTTCTTCTGCGGCGGGTCTTGCAGAACTTAGCTCCGACCGCATGGACAGTTTCCACGAGCTTGTCATTCATATCGTCCACTTCATTGCGGTCTTCTAGGCGCTGGAAACGGTTTTGTAACTCGAGCTGAAAGGTTTCGGGACTTTGGAACAGAGCACGAGGGGGACGGAGCGTTGACTTCATTAGACGAGACCTCTCCAACTTAACGTTTAGGTTCAGTGTGCCTCTAACCATTCGGTGATGGCTACCAGTTTTCACCCTCGCGATCACGGAGACATCACTGAACAGTTGTCGTCTGGTCGTCATAATGAAGTCAATCTCATTTTTTGTCGAACCGTCGGGGCTCGACCAGGTCCACTTCCTGTGGGGCCGCTTCTGGAAGAAAGAGTTCATCATACAGAGTCCCTCTTTCTCCATGAAGTCGGCCAGCTGCTGGCCCCTTGGGTTCCATTGCCCTATTCCAAATTTCCCTACTTTCAGCTCACCGTTCTCTCTTGTGCCTAGTTTTGCATTGAAGTCTCCCATTAACACCGTATATTGGGTTTTGGAGGAATGCATGGCTCTAGAGATATCCTCATACATTTCCTCCACCTCCTCATCGGGTTGTGCCGAGGTTAGTGCGTAAACCTGTATGACCTTCAGCGAATACCGTTTGGTGATTCTGAGTATAAGGTACGCAACCCTCGTCGACACACTCCCGATCTTTACAACGTTGTTAACGAGAGACTTGTGGACGATAAAACCGACACCTCCTTGGGACAGATGGTCGCCCTCCCGGTAATAGAGCAAGTTGCCGGATTCGAGGATTACCGTGTCCTCCCCCTCTCTTCGGACTTCAGATAATCCTATAATATGCCAGCGCAATTTGTCTATCTCTTCTTCCAGCTCCACGATCTTCTCGTCAGTCCTCAGGGTGCGTGCGTTGTACGTTGCCAGGTCGAGTCGTCTAAGGTGGCAACCGAACCTCCACCGGAGATTCTTAGCACCCCCTGCCCCGCCGTTACCATGGTCGCCACCGTAGCCAGGAATAGCGGGGCCGCCGGGGACTGGGGGCCGTCTGTTTGTTGCTTTAATCATTGGGGGGTATTTGCCATAGTTGCCACGCTTGGCGAGCGGGTTGACAACCGCAGTTTTTTTATTGTAATTTTGGCTATTATCAGGAGGATGCTGCTGCCCATCTCCTGCCTGTTTCCCTTTGCCGCCTTTTACGACACCCACGGGAGGATATGGGGTAGTGGATATTCTTGACCGCCACTACACGGCCAATCAATCAATATAATATGAACGATTGTCAAAAAGTGGCAATGTTGATTTATGCTGCAGAAGTTAGTCGGTAAGGGAAGCCCTAGACGGAAGTTTGTCGACCAAGTCAGCGATTTATTGAAGAAGAGCCAATTTATATATTTTAGGGTATTCTACCCTTAACTGATGATCATGTATAAGCAGACATATGGATATGAAATTACAGAGAATGGTGTGTAAGGATCGTGTTAATTGGAAGTCCGTAGTCTCTGGCTACCCTCTGGGTGACAGATTGACAGCTGTAAGAAGAATATGTATTAATGAGTAATCAATGAATTAAGAATTGAAGAAGAGTATGTATTAATGAATAATCAATTAATTAAGAATGCTTCTGAATAAACCAAAGTTTAGGTGGTAGTAGATGCGTGCTTAAGTGTATTGTGTGTATAAGTGTAGTTCGGTATGTCAGTCTGTGAATTTAATTTAGATGTAATTTTAATAGGACAAATGTCCGAAAGAGAAATATAACAAATGCGTTACTTATTTATGTAAAATAAAAAAGCATTTTAAGGCTATTTGTTGTAGTAATTTTTTTTTAATTTATAGTATGGGGTAACAAACGAGCACACATTCCACCTGATGGTAAGTGGTTGCTGCGACCCATAGACATCTACATTTATCCTCAATAAAGAATCAAAATGCAGATGCGTCATCACCCGTGAGGACTAAGATGCAATGCCTCTTTACCAGTAAAATGGGTCTCCAGTTCTCTACACTCACCATACGAAACACAGCAGTGTGAAGCTGCGATTTTACGCTCGTATTCTGTGAGAGCGTGGTCCTTCCCCGGTCTAGCCGATCCATTTGTGCTACAACTATACTACTAATATAGCTGCAGCATGGCTCTACCATGTAAAAAGACATATATGATTGGCTACAAATGTCTTATAATTAATAACACTGCTTTCCAGAATAGTATTTTATTCACTGCTATCTTTATTAACCTTTAAGAAAACTTATCGTTTGTGATCGACACAAGTTTTGTTGATCCTCGCTGACACTTTATTATTGAATTAAATGAAGATGGAAATTACTTTTAGACGGGGCTTGATCTATCTGGACGTGCCGATCACCTCTGCGGACAAAGTGTCTGTACCACCACTAAAGGGTTTCGTAATGAACCGAATCGCGGGCGACTACTTCGAGACATTACTCTACAAGGTGTTCGTATCTGTTGATGAGCACACAAGCGTCGCCGAGTTGGCAGCGGTGTTACAGGTGACGCCGATTTAACCTATTGTAGTTTGATAAGGTTTCAAATAGTTTAGTTATTTAATCTTTAATACACTGACCATACAGATGTATCGTTAAACATATATAGACTTAGGCATATACTGGTATTGGTGGTGGATTCTAAAAATAAACTATAATTATCTAAAATTCAAGTAATTAAATTGAAGCTTTTTCAAACATTTTTTAAGTCACAAAATTTTATGTTAAGTTTTTCCTCCTTCCCTTTTTTCCCATCAGTCTGTAGTTTGCTGTACTGCCGTAATGTAAGTCGTTATTGCTATATGGCGGGCTAAGTACTCGTAGAAGGTCGATGCCTAATGGTATAAATGTTAATATTTCATCTCAACTACTGTCAGTTTTGTCATACAGTGGCTTTTTTGAAAACAAATTTTAAAATAAATTAAAAAAATGTTTAAAAATATATTTTCCATTATGTTAGCATATTTATTATTCACTAATATTGGTTGGGAACGCACCACCTATTATTGGTTTGCCCACTTCCATTCTGGAAATTTCGACCTGAAAAATGAACCCTGTGCTCGTCCGAAAATTTTGGTCGACAATGACGAATTAAGGCAGAAGCTATTGATACTCAATTTACGGCTGAATTAGCAGCTGCTTTCGACGTTAGCATCAATACAGTATTGGTGCACTTGCGTCTAATTGGCAAGGTAAAAAAGCTTGACAAATAGGTGCCCCACGAACTCAATGATCACCAGCGCGAAGTCAGGCCTGCGTCACTCGCTCAAGACCCTGCGTTATATGCCTACCGTTCTGGGTATCGCCCACGATACAACCGACATTGGGCTGCCGCACGCCCGCCTGAGCGCTTACACCGCGCACGTTTCCCGCGCTTACTCGTCGACATGCCGAAACCACGTAATTATTGTGCAGTGGATGAGTGTCAGTCAAAAAACAAATGAAAAATTGTCATTTTTTTCTTAACTATAAGATTACATCGAAACAACAGCATAACAGTGCTGTGATTTATAAATTGAGTGACAACCTGGACATCCAAATTATATAATAAGTCTTAAATGATTTTGACAACGCCATAATGAATCGGCCTGGCAGCAGCGTGTTACAAATTTTACAAACCATTGATTTTCCTTCGCTTTGCTCCTGTTTTCCTTATGATTATTTATTAAAATTATTTACGTGATTTAGGATATTTTCAACGATAAGATTTAATAACCGAGAATTCAGAGAAGAAAAAAAGTGTATAAATAAGGTTCGTTTTATTACAATAATCATCATAGGTACAACCCTAGCGCATTCGTGCGATGACGCGCTGGCACGTGAGTCGCACGGCGGTTAACACAATCTCGACTCTTTATGCGCGCTCTTATGGTACATTTTCCTCTCGCTTCGAACAGCAGATATTATTATTAAGATTTTGTAGGCTATTATAGCGTAGGTATATTCACTTTTGTATGGGAGTGATGTATCTGTTTAGTAAACTATTAAGTAATCTGTGGCGAAGTACGCGTAAAAAAGTGATTTGCACTTGCGTAAGAACTGAACACAATGATGGAGAATTTTGCACGGCACGCTCTCCGCTACTCCTGCACGACTACGCGCGATGTCATACTGCATAACAGACGGTCTCCAAGTTCCAATAGTTGGGGTTGGAAGCTCTCCGTCATCCGCCGTACTCACCAGACCTTGCACCTACAGACTTCTACTTTATCTAGTATTTGGATAACTTTTTGGCGGGAAAAAAGTCAATATCCAAGAGGCAGTACAAAATGCCTTTGAAGAAATTGTTACCTCCCGTCCAGCTGAATTCTTCAAGGGCATCAATAAACTGCCACTGCGTTGGCAAAGATCGATTGCGTGGGTGATACTTTGATTAATAGAAATAAAAATATAGAAAAAATTACTTTTAAAAAACTGCAATTTCGTAGGTAAAGAGAACATATGTTCAAATAGTGTAGAAAAGAGTCAAAAGGAATATCCTTTCGACTCTTATAGTATTATACACTCTATCCAGTTTCTAAATGTAATTATCGTCTTCAGGTGGACTGCGAGCTGGTTAAACAAGCGATATCATTGTACTGTAGACTGGGTTTCGCCAACAACTTGAATCCGCCGCCAGTTTCGCCGCAGCACCCGTCCTGGAACGATGCCGTCACCACACACAAACATCAACCGTGAGAGAAGCATTTATAAAATTGTGACTTTACGGAGTCAATATTCATTCATAGTTTATCATTTTTTTTATTAATATTTAAAACAGTATAGTCGGCTTAACATTTGATATTCTGTGGAATTGAAATCCAAGTTCTTAAATACATCTACAGAACTCCAATTATGAGCACTTCACTATATTCTCTGTATAAATACATTTTGAGGAATTCGGTATGTCTGCAAGAGAAAAGAAGCGGCGGCTTGTCATAGCCCGACCTGCAGCAGAAATCAACCAATTAGTGACCTTCTATTCATAGATCCTAATACCACACTACATTGGGTTCGGGAACAACAAGGTGGGCGTGACCCCTGAGAAAACCGGAACCCACTCAAAGCCCGCCCGCTCTTTCTCAAAAGAAAGGTTAGACGACTAAGATTACGGGTCCCTATGGAATGGTCCCGGTCTTGACGTTAGTCATCAGTGGACTGTATTTCGGGAAACGGGTTCAATGCTGAACGAAACATCGGTTGTTCTTCATAAACCCCCTTTGGGAATGCGACATTGAAAATTTCACAAATTTACTACTTTCCCTATTGCTTTCTTTCTTGAGTAAAAAATGGTCCCGAACGAATTGCCAAAATACCAGCTTACCATCCTACCCCGACAGCTATACGCGAAAGTGAATTATGCACCACGCGCCAATTACGGCATAATCTAACACTGATTTCCACTATCACATTACCATATTTAAAACTATATCTTTACTACAATTTCTGTACGACCCTTGGCACCACGGTAGCAGACTAGTACTTTCTCTGTCTAAATTACAGCTATCTCGGTTCATTATATAACTTTATTTATTTATATATGCTATTCTTATCTAGCCATTATGTAACTTATCTCTTATCATAAGACCATAACATGTTTCACCAAAACAAATGTTTTATACAAGGCAATTCTTTATTTCGTATTACATAGCTGACTACTATATAACGCGTGACTCTTAATTAGGCTTTTCGCACACGAGTCGTAAGCGTAGTCGTATCGTAAGCGTATCGTCACGACACGACGCGTACGAGACCTGCAGTGTTCTACAAACGAATCGTCGGGTAGACGTATCGTATTGTAAGATCTCAGTTGAATTCGTAGTGTCAACGGTACCAGATGTGTTAGGTGAATTTATAGGTTATCTTACTTTTTCTTTAGATGAAGATGATTTTTATTGTTTGATTATGTAAGAAATAGAAAGCGATATTTATGACGATATTTCTTTCCAAGCTTTATCCGTTACATCTTTCCTTAAATATTCACTTAATGAATAATATATTATAATAATGAATTATATAGACAAGGGAACGCTTCACCCAGTTTCCCGAATTCAATCACTTTTTCAGTCCTATTCATACATATTGAAATTAAAAGACGTAAGAAGTTAAAAAACATTAAAATTCAGTTAAATTTTTAAAGAAATTAATGAACAGTTAACTTTTTACGCTTGCTTTTTTACGCCAGTGCACTACGACTATCGTAGTGACAATAAACATCTCCTACGATTCGCTGCAGCACCGCTTCGTGTGCGGACTTGTTTGAACATGTACGAGCTCGTATGGCTCTCGTCCTACGCGCGTATTACGATACGCTTACGATACAACGCCGTGTGCGAAGGGGCTTAATTTACAAACAATTTTGTGGAATTAGCTCTCAGACGGGGAATCGAACCGAGGTCTCCCGCGTGACAAACAGGAATTCTCAAAAAATTCATCATTATACTGAAACTATTTACTTTTAACATAGATTCATAGAATTATTACGCATAGAAGCGCAGTCCAGTACAAAACACGAGCGTTAAAATGATGCAAAGTCATTATGTTAGTGGGCGCGAGTCGAATTTGCCTACGCTCGTCACACGCACACATACACGCCATTCAGTGATACCAGTTTCTGGCGTTTGCAATCAAATTGTGCAAATCACTATTTTTTGATTAATTTTAAAAAATCGATATAATAAAGATTACGTATTACGTACGAAGATTATTTAGTAGAGGTATGAGAATATAAAATGGAATAAAATAAACACGATAATGATGTTACTAATATACTTTTTTATACATATATTACTGGTAAAAAATGCATACGTAATAAAATTTAAGAATATTATTAAACACAACTAATTTGCTCGAATACAATAAGCACATCGTGTAATGGTTAATTTTAACCGACTTCAAAAAGGGAGGAGGGTATCAATTCGGTGTATTTTTTAATGTTTTTACCTCAGAATTCTACAATTTCTAAACCGATTTAGATTTTTTTGAAAGGATATACACACAGATTGATCCAATACACACGCTGAAATTTTAATGGTTGTTTTCCTGAAGTAAAATGATTTTGCCTTAGTAGTACAATAGAATAGATGTAAAAATGGCAGATTTACAATCGAGAAAAACAATATTCGAATGCGATCTCAAACCAATAGCAATATCTCGCAAGTAGGTCGGGCGTACAGGCTAGCTTATACCGAATTACTATAATAAAGTCTGAAAAAAAAATTCGCTGGACGTAATGTAGTGTTACCTCTATTGCACGTGCTACCGCGCGCTTCCTACAAAGTGAAGGACCACTAATAAATGTTCATAACATGAACTCTCAAGCGTAGTGATACAACATAAACTAGTTTGGACGCCCGAATAGCTTGTGAGGTAATACTATATTAAATCTGCCCTTTTTTAACTGTAATATTTTTTAATTTAGTAAATTTACTCTACTATCGAGACAGTATAATTTGGCGTTTTATACACAAATAGAAAATAAATATTTTTAAAAGAAAATTGTGATTTTTTCCCCACAACTAGCAACATTTGTATTATGAGAGCTTAGGTAAGTATTTTTTTAGTTTTACGTACTTATAATGAATTAAATGTATAAACTTATATGTGAAATGTAATACCATTACTTCTTTTATGTTTATCATCACCGTTGTAACAATTTTTTACAACACAAACGGTAATATTTACAATTTTTCGCGAGCTCTTCTCCGTAAGACGTGACGTTGCGTACTGACGCGTCGCTGAGTCAACTTACGCGGTTTCGAGTTAGTTTTACTTGCTTCACTTTCGGTGCGCGTACTAGTATTCTATGCGTAATAATTCTATGCATAGATTATTCTTTAATTTGGAATATATTTACTTTCAACATAAATCGTTATTAATATAAATACGAATTATTTAAAAAAATGGTAAAATACTATAATAAACATTAAAGTGCATCACCAACAGCAAGGTATTTTTATTGTGTGAACAATGGCGAGCTTTGTTACTTTAATAATTATGTTTTGTTTATCTCAATTTAATCTAAAAAAAATATATAAAATGTTTATTCTGTAACAATAAACTTACATGAAAAGCAGTACATAGAAGTAGTTTAAGTGTTTTTCAATACTTGTGACAGGATAACTCGCTCTTCCTTAATTAACATACTTGTAATTTACAATAAATTACCTTTAGACATAAAAATGCCCAATAAATTTACGGTCTTCCAAAATAAATTAAAAGAATATATAAGCAACAATGTTAAATGAATTTAATTATATCTGAACCCGGCCCGGGTATCGCGTATAGCGTAGCATTGTTATTAATTTCCACCCACATTATTTTTGATTTTTGTTTCTAGTGTCTTTGCAACGACAATAAGTGTCGCAGTGTATAATGTACCCTCGATTGTGTATATCATATTATCAGTTATGACACAAACATGTGTTCATCGACCTAAAAACTTTGTAAAACATTTTTCTTATAAGTTTCTCATGAAGTGAAATAATGTATTTCTTTTGAGAAATAAAGTTTCTTTAACCACAACATACTTGTACTAATCTTGATTTTTGAATCATTCATCTCATTTCCTTAACATCAATGTCTAGTGCATACTAGTACTTAGCATTTAATGTACAACATATAATTATTAAATGTAATTTAATAATTGTTTAGATACAGACAAATAGCACCCCTGACGTTTGACCCTAACGTAGATGAAGATGCGTTACAAATGGAGCCAGTACTTATAAAAGACGCACCATCCACTTCGAAACAGGTAAATTGATGTGTTGAAATATCTTACGGGTCAACCGTCCCTCTATGATATTACTTGGTCCTTCGAGCTGGTTTTTAATTGTATACTCATTTTCAGAGTTCCCAAGATATATGTGATATTGCAACAAACAACAGCGGGCAAAGAGTGGCAGTTCTTTTTGATTCAACTCTTGCTGCGTATCTTATGATGGGTAACTTATCGCCGGTAAGTTATTTTATGAAGTGGCAATGTTAGAATAACCTATATCATCTCGAAGGTGTCTTAAAAGGTGACAGAGAGGATCAGACCGGGAAATGGGCAGCAAAACCTTTGTAAAAGCAACTAAAAACTGTGGTTGCCAACCTGCCTGCCAAGCGGACCTTAGCAAATATCCTCCTTGTGAAGAAGTCTATGGGAGAGGCCTATGTTCAGCAGTGGTTTTTTGATAAACTATGATAATAAGTTACTTTATTTTTATTGTAAGTAGGGTACATTAGGATGTCATGGAAGATGCCTTTTTCTGTATTACGAGTATAATGTATGATATATAATATGTGAACTATGTTTCGTTCCTATTATTAAATAATATACTTTTGTAAGTTTATAGGATCTTAAGAGTCATGCGGTGACGCTGTTCGAAGTTGGAAAACTATGTGATGAGAGCTTAGACAGTTTACTTATGGAGTTGGATAAGGTACGTAAGGCGTATTTTTTGTGTTAAGTTTAGTTCTAGTATGAACTGCTTCCTCATTTGTTACAGATTCATATAAAATCTTCACAACATGCATTTTTAAGCCTTAAAAACAAAAAGATTTACTTGTGCACTGCAATTATGGGATATGACTTTTAATTATAGTCCTTCAGTGCATATGAATATGGACTTGTTGCTTTTTGGATTGGGTTTGGTGGCTGATGTCTATTTATCACACTGCTCTACGCTTAATTATTTTCTAATTGTATTGGGAGTTATAATGAAATATATATTAACAATACATAGTTAATAATATATAGTATTATATATTGGTAGGTATTAACAATATATAGTAACATACATTGCTATGCAGGTGACAGCACTGGTGATACTCTATACACCGGCCGTGTCAGTATTTCTCGGGAAAATGTCACCAAGTACCGGAACAAAGTTGTGTCTGAAGTCGAGACTTTATTGAACAAAGTTTCGGATTTAGGGTGACTAAATCTAGTCTACTAATAAGAATACTAGCTGTAGGGAACTGCAGTGGACTGTATTTGAATTTAATTGTGACTACTGTTTACTGTGTAGGGTGAACTATGCTAGGGACGTTGATGGAAGAAAAGATGATACTCTTGACGATTATATATTACAATTATAAACAAGCGGCAGTAATAAACTATGCACAGGAGGGAGTCTTGATTCTTGCCTTTTCTCTCTTGTGGTTTCTCTCTTGATGTTTCCTCTTAAAGTTTCCTCTTGAAATGCCGCTGCCGAAATGAACGACTCGCAGTCCAAATTGCCCTTTTTATATTCCCAAAAAGGGTGTCTCGGCACGAGACCGAGGTCCTATGAGGTGTGCCGCGCGCTGATTGGTCGGCGGCATCACGTGATATTCGGGCGGTGTGCGGGGTGCGCGGGCGCAACGGGGCGTAACGGCGGCGGCTCCCCTCGCCGTCCGTAACACTAGCTGTTCCCTGAGACTTCGCCCGCGTGTAATTTAGGATTTCAATTATGTTGCGCGGAACTAATTATTTTTCTAAAATATAAGTAGCCTAAGTTACTCCTTATAACTTCAGTTATCTGCCAGTGAAAGTCCCGTCGAAATCGGTCCAGCCATTTCGGAGATTAGCCGGAACAAACAGACAAACAGGCAGACAAAATTTTAAAAATTGTGATTTTGTTATAAGTACCGTATATACTTTCATATGCATTTAGTAAAAAGCTGTTATTTTGACATTACAAACAGACACTTCAATTTTATTTATTTGTATAGATTAATAATATGGCTGAAAAGAAGCTAATTTTTAATTTGTAATTTATTGCAGTTTCAATTTTCGAGACTTTATTTATTGTTGGTTTACTTGTAAATAATGAAGGATGCGAAGAAAAAACATATTAAAAATCAAAATTAATAATATGTAATATGTAAGTTTAGTAACGTGTCGCGATTTCAAGTGAATCCATTTTGGGGTTTTTTGAGATTTATTTTTGTATCATTATCAGGTCGTCGCTGATCCTGAAATTGAGGGCGAAGCCCGACGGTACTTAGCAGCCGCCGCGTGCTTGCGGATAGCACTACGTACATTAAGGCCGAGTCTTCGCCCTCTTGATTTGTTGCGATGCGAAGCCCTTCATGCTCTCGGACCTGCTGCGAGGGCACGTCTTTTTGCTACTAAATATAGGTAGGTTTACATATTTTCTAAAAGAGTGCAAATGAATCGGCTGGTTGGGTAATCTAGAGTGGATGTTAATGTGCATTGATTCATTCATAACAGTCTATCAAAAGTCCACTGCTGATTAAAGCCTCCCATATATTGTATATATGTTTATCCATATATGTTTTTCTTGGCATCACTCTCGACCGCTCGGCCGCCATATATCCAAATTAGCAAGCAGACTAAGTTCTGCAGCCTATGCTGTAAAAAAGATTAGAGGTCTCACTAGTGTCGAGACAGCTAGATTAGTTTATTTCAGTTATATCCATAGCATAATGTCTTATGGGATTTTGCTATGGGGAAATGCGGCTGATTCAGAAACTATTTTTGTTTTACAGAAGAGAGCCATTAGAGCTATTTACAATCTAAATCCGAGAGAGTCTCTTAGAGATAAATTTAAAGAAATAAATATATTAACTTTGGCCTCTCAGTATATTTACGAAAATTTAATGTATGTTCACAAAAACAAAGATAGTTTTAGTAAAAAAAGTGATATACATTCTGTAAACACTAGGAACAAACACAAGCTAGTGATGCCAGTTTCTCGACTCCACAGAGTCAGTAATTCATTCTTGGGGCAATGTATACGCTATTACAGCAAGGTCCCGGAAAGTGTACAGGTTCTCTCTATTACCAAGTTTAAATGTTTTATTAAGCTAAAACTGTATAAAAAGGGTTATTATAGTATAAATGAATACATGATTGATAATAACTCCTGGGAATGAGGTGGTCGTTTCCAAGCAGTTTCTAAAATAAATTTTATAAATAGTTCCTAATCATTTATATTGTAAAATTTATTTAATAAAAAAAGGTCCCGCTGGGTTTCTTGCTGGTTCTTCCCAGAACAGAGGGTTTCTTTTTCGAACCAGTGGTAAAGTAAAAAATTACTTTCAATAAGAATTAATTATTCTATTCTATTCTATCCCCCATAGATTGCCTCATAATGGGGAACTTTCTTTGCCATAGTTGTCACGCTTGGCATGTGGTATGGCAACTACAGATTTTTTTTAAATTATCATTTTCAATATCCTTTAGAAATATTTGTGTATTAAAATTGATAATAAGCTTACTGGATTTAGGACCGTTTGGCATCGTACAAAATCACTATCGATAACACGTTTTCGTTCGTTCGCGTTTAAACGAGGCATCATCAGTTATGAGACTGTGTTGCGATTCTGCTAAGAAAATGGTTAGCCAACCCGTTTGTCCGTTATACATATATGTAACATTCGTCAACCCGCAGGCTTAAAGCAAATAGTACAATACTAATCTTTAGGGTGTTGCATTCTGCCTGGCATCGCGAAAAAAACCACGGTTGAGTTTCAATTGCCGCTTGGTATGGGTGTTGGGCTGTGTATAGCGCAGCATTTTTTGTATAGTGAACTTTGTTTCTCATAAATGCGGTTATTCCATTTATCCACCCTAAAACAGCCACTCTAGAGTAGATACATCCATCCACGTCTGTCGTTTGGGGTGGATAGAGAACACGCGTTTCGCACCACCCTAGGGTGGTTGTTTGAGGGTGAATAAACGGAATAACCGTATAAATGTATTGTATTTCTGAAATGTGACAGCACTTAGAAAATTATTTTTAGATTGGCGATCTCAACTGCACCCTTATCACGCGAAGCTCGAGCTGGTGCCGTGGCCGGAGCGCTTCCGCATTTGGGCCCCGCGCCCCCGGAGGCCTCGTCCCCGTGGATGCGCCTCTACCTCTACCACGTCGCCGGTTATGGGCCGCCCACATTGCTGCTCACCAAAGGTAAAATCTTAGGATGCAGTAGAGACAAACTGGGGTTATGGGGTTGGGTAGTCCTTGACTAGATTTTTATAAGACATTCAAAAAGAATATCCTCCTAAAATATTGAAATTTTTTAATTGTACGTGGTAAAGCCACGTTGCCGTGCATTATGGCTCGAGCAAAAATGGGGCGACTAGTCTTGGGACGGACCACATTCACACAGAAAAGCTAGCGTCAAATTGCAGCATAATGCTGCTGCGTTTTGTATGGGGAATCATGAGAATCGGAGACTTATTTTACAGATAACAAGCATTTACATTTTAAATCTTAAACCTCTTGTAAATCGCACAGTTGTGGACCGCCAATCATCCAGATGGTATGGATGGTATCTCGAGTTCTGTCGCAATGTGCAATGGTGAAATTGAGCGGCTGGAATTAGTCCGAACAATTCCTCTGAGCACTACCCGTGCTAGATACGAGCGCCAGTGAGTCAAGCCGATCAGAAAGAGCTCGGTCGCCGAACCGCTCTGCGTTGGATGCGATCAAACGGAAGAAGCTGGCACTGGGGAGCCCTGACCCAGAGATGGGAACAGTAATCCATGTAAGGCCGAACCCTGCGCCTTGTAAAACTACAGGCGGTGTGTCAGCATGACATACTGTCCCGCTCTGCTGAGTACGTCAAACTTTTTAGAGGCCAGTTTGGCCTTCTCTTCCAAGTGATCACGAAACTGCACGTTTTTTTTTTTATAGGAGAGGGGGCAAACGAGCATGCGGCTCACCTGATGGTAAGTGACTACCGCCGCCCATGAACAACTGCAACACCAGGGGAATCGCAGATGCGTTGCCAGCCTTTTAAAAAGGAGTACGCTCTTTTCTTGAAGGTCCCTAAGTCGTATCGGTCCGGAAAAATCGCTGATGGTAATCGATTCCACAAGGAGGTCGTGCGAGGAAGAAAACATCTTCTAAATCGCACAGTGGTGGACCGCCAATCATCCAGATGGTGTGGATGGTATCGGGAGTTCTGCCGCGATGTGCGTTCGTGAAATTTGGCGGCTGGGATTAATCCGAACAATTCCTCAGAGCACTCCCCATGGTAGATGCGAAAGAAAATGCAAAGGGATGCAACATCTCTTCGCAGTGCCAATGAATCGAGCCGATCGGAAAGGGCTCGGTCGTCGACAATTCGAGCCGCTCTGCGTTGGATGCGGTCAAGTGGAAGGAGCTGGCACTGGGGAGCCCCTGCCCAGAGATGGGAACAGTATTTCATGTGAGGCCGAACTTGCGCCTTGTAAAGTAGCAGGCGGTGTGCCGGCATGAAATACTGTCCCGCTCTGCTGAGCACGCCAAGCTTTTTAGAGGCCAATTTGGCCTTCCCTTCCAAATGACCACGAAACTGCACGTCACTCGATATGTCGACTCCGAGGATACCGATACTGGCTGAGGCAAGAAGGGGAGTGCCTTGAAACTGAGGAGATACGACAAAGGGGTTCTTTTTAGCGGTAAACGCGCAAACTTGTGTCTTCTGAGGATTAAATTGGACTAGATTTAGTCGCCCCCAATCCGAGACTTTGTTCAGCAAAGACTCGACTTCAGACACAAGTTTGTTCCGGTACTCAGCGACGTTTTCCCGAGAAATATTGGCACGGCCGGTGTATAGAGCATCACCAGTGCTGTCATCCGCATAGCAATGAATGTTACCAGTTAGCAACATATCATTGATATGCAGAAGAAACAGCGTCGGTGATAGCACACAGCCTTGTGGAACACCAGCGTTAATAGGCTTGTAGTCAGAGATAGTTGGATGGGTCTGAGCGGTCGCCTTTTTTAGGGATCGGGTGGACAAAAGCTGTCTTCCATGAATTCGGGACTACGCCTTGGGAGTAGGAGTACCGGAAAAGACGCGTTAGGACCGGTGCCAACTCCGGAGCACACGTCCTCAGCACAATTGGGGGGATTCCGTCAGGCCCACTCGACTTCTGGATGTCCAGGGAGAGCAGTGCTTTGCGAACCGAGCGCTGTGAGAACAGCACATCCGGCATGGAGCACTCACACCGCGGTATGGTCGGCGGTGTTTTCCCCCCATCATCAAGAGTCGAGTTGGACGCAAAAAGGGAGCCTAAAAGGTCGGCTTTGTCTTTTGCGTCATGGGCCAGTGAGTCATCCTCCCTGTGCAGAGATGGTAGTGATGACTTACAGAAATTCCCTTGGACAGCCTTGGCGAGAGACCAGAATGCACGGGTTCCCGAAGGAAGGCGAACTAGTTTCTCGCCAATTCTGCCTATGTGCTCTGACTTTGCCTTGGCAATAACTCTTTTGAAGTACCTGGAGGCGAAGTTATACTTCTTTTTAAGTGTGCTGGTATTTACATCCCGAGTCGCAGAAGCCGCAGCCCAGGCTTGATAACACTCCTGCTTACTGCGTAATGCAGTCTTACAGGAGCGACCAAACCAAGGCTGAGATCTGCCTCCGATGGGTACCACAGATGATGGAATAAATAGTTCCATTCCCTGTAGCACCACATCAGTGACAGAGTCAGCAACAGCGCTGGGATCATCCGGCGAGAAGCAAACCCGCCCCCATGGGTAGGATGCAAAGAAGGACCGCATTCCGTCCCAATCCGCCGACCTGTAATGCCAAACACGGCGGCAACCTGCAGAACGCAACCGCGAAGGGAGCGTGAGTGGCACCACACTCCGGATCAGACAATGGTTCGAAGAGCCGAGAGGGGCATCGACGGAAACCTGATATCCGTCCGGATGAGAGGTCAGCAGAAGGTCCAACAGGGAAGGTGTATGATCCTCCACATCTGGAACCCGCGTAGGCGAAGTAACCAGTTGTGTCAGACCATATGCCAAGGCAAAGTCATAAACAGATCTCCCCGCATGATCGATTAGACGTGAACCGAGCCATTCGGCATGGTGGGCGTTAAAATCGCCAAGGATCACGATCTCTGCGGATGGGACCTGTTGTAGCAAGAAATCTGTAGCCATTTGGACGTGGTCGATGAGTCGGTCTGTTTCGGCATTACCGCTATGGGACCTATAGAGGCACCCGTAGACGCGCGGATGGTCGTCGCTGTCTACGCGTAGCCAAAGGATGGACAGGTCCGAACCTTCAAGACTGCCGAGGCGTCGAGAACAGATGTCCTCTCTGACATACACGCAAACTCCAGCCCGAGGCACAAAGGAATGCTCCAATTTGTACCCCGGGTAGGAGAGATACGAAATATCAGCCGGAGAGGAAACCTGTGTCTCGGTCAGAAAGAGCAAGGCCGGCTTCGCCGTCTCGAGATGGTAGTGGACGGCGTTTAGGTTAGAGTGAAGTCCCCTGATGTTGCAGAAATTCACGGATAGCGTGGCAGGGGTCGCCTTGGTGTTCTTGCTCAGTTTGCCCCTAGCAGTAATGCTTTTGATCGGAATTTTGCCCCCCCCAGAATACGCGGGGCAGCCTGAGCACCCACGCTCAGGATCGGAATAACATGGTCGTGGATGCTCAGCGAGGGATTCTCCAGGGGTGCTGGTACCCTCCTGGGGTAGTTCTTCGTGTAATTCCACTACCATGTTGATGGGGGGGGGGGGGGGGGGGAATTGGGCCTCCGGCCACCTGCACTCACCAGACGAAACGCAGAAGCAAAGCTTCTACTTCACGCCGGTATTCTGTGAGGTCGTGGTACCAACCCGGCTCGAGCCGTCCCATACATGCAACAGCAGAAACTGCTGCGTGGCTCTACCACCGTCACTCGATATGTCGACGCCGGGGATTCCGATACTGACTGAGACAACAAGGGGAGTGCGATGAAACTGAGGAGATACGACAAAGGGGTTCTTTTTAGCGTTCATTTTTCTGGGGATTGAACTGGACTAGATTTAGTCGCCCCCTGTCAGAGACTATTATACTATAGATACGACTAAAGTCTCAATTACAGACACAAGTTTGTTCCGGTACTTTGCGAAGTTTTCCTGAAAAATATTGGCACGGCCGGTGTACAAAGCATCACCAGTGCTGTCGTCCGCATAGCAAGCAATGTTACCGGATTGCAATATAATTGAAATGCAGAAGAAATAACGTTACTAATAGCACGCAGCCTTGTGGAACACCAGCGTTAATGGGCTTGTAATCGGAGCATGCACCGTCTACTACGACCTTGATCCTCCTGAGCCAGAAAACTGATGATACAATTGCACAATTTCTCGGGAAACCCATAGGAAGGAAGCTTCGAAAGAAGCGCTTTGTGCCAAATCCGAATGAAGTCCTTCGCTATGTCCAAATAAACCGCCAAAGCCTCCCCATTGGATTCGATCGCTAAGTAAATAAGAAGATCACCAGCTGAGTGACCTCGTCTATAAGCTGGTGCTGTTCAAGGTACCGCATGAGCTAGCAATTAATAATAGACTCCATTATTTTCAAGAATAAAGGGGTGATGGCGTTTACCATTTTTAGGGTTCGGGTTCACGAAAGCTTCCATGAATTTGGGACAACGCCTAGGGAAAGGAGTACCGGAAAAGATGTGTTAGAACCGGTGCCAACTCTGGAGCACACGTCCTCAGCACAATAGGGGGGATACCGTCAGGCCTACTCGACTTGTGGATGTCCAGGGAGAGAAGTGCTATGCGTACTGAGCACAGTGTGAATCGCACATCAGGCATAGAGCACTCACACCGCGGGGTGGTCGGTGGTCGGAGGAGTCGAGTTGGACGCAAGAAGAGAGCCTAAAAGGTCGGCTTTCTTTTTGCTCCGTGGGTCAGTGAGTCGTCTTGCCTGTGCAGAGATGGTAGTGATTGATTTATAGAAATTCCCTTGGACAGCCTTGGCGAGAGACCAGAATGCACGAGTTCCCGAAGGAACGCGAATTACTGAATAAATTAATTGACTTGGTATTACATTGATCTCACAACTTTTTACGGTAGAAGAACTGAGTTGCGAGACTCGGTTTTTTTACAAGTTATGTTTTTGATGGTATCTCATTTCTTTTTGTAGGTAGTTATATCTAGGTACCTATCTACACCTATTATTCCATTATATTATACAAATATAGGTACACTGATTCATGCACTGCAAATGTAACTTTGTAATCCTATATATTTATATGGGATTACAAAGTTATTTATGCAGTTGGTGTATCTAGAAAACTGGACTGAAATTGCAAAATATTTTAATTTTTCTTAATAATATAATTTTTCTTAATAATATATAATTAAGTTTCTAGTTTTAGTTTTTTTTTTTTTATTATCATAATTTTTCTTTATTTATATACTCAACAATAATTGTATTCCAAATATAAACCTTTTATGTCTACTAGAAGTGCCTTAGAGTTTTGATGATCGGTCAGTCAGTGAGTGACAAAATTAAGAAACTTTGACTAGTTATAATTCTTAAACTACTGGTTCAAATTTAATGAAATTTGAAATATAATGAGTTTATACGATTCCTACTTGGTTACTGAAAATTCAGGCTTCTAGTTTTATTCACAACGAAGTAATAAGGTTTCGCAAATGGCCTGAACTGCTTCGATAAAAAGATGGTATACGGTTGTGCCGCTTTTTTGTTCGACTTGGCGGGGGCACTGCCGTGCCCCCAGATTCCATCTTAGTCCTCACGGGTGACAACGCATTTGCATTTTAATTCGTAATCGAGGATAGTTGTAGATGTCTGTGGGCCACAGCAACCACTTACTATCAGGTGGACAGTGTGCTCGTTTGTCAGCCTTATCCTATAAAAAAATGGAGTGTTCGGTATGTGAAGGTACGGTGTTGCGCGGCGTGCCGCGTGCACTGCTGGGGTTCGCGCGGTTGTGCGTGTGGTGGTGGGGCGCGGAGGGCGAGGGCACCGCGCTGCCCGCCGCCGCCGCGCTCGCCGCCGCCAACTCGGCGCTGCGCCGCGCGCCCGTGCTGCTGCAGGCCGCCGCCGTGCGCCAGCAGCCGCGCCTGCGCTACTTACCCTTCCCGCCGCACCACGACGGTGAGTGCGCCGCGCCCGTGCTGCTGCAGGCCGCCGCCGTGCGCCAGCAGCCGCGCCTGCGCTACTTACCCTTCCCGCCGCACCACGACGGTGAGTGCGCCGCGCCCGTGCTGCTGCAGGCCGCCGCCGTGCGCCAGCAGCCGCGCCTGCGCTACTTACCCTTCCCGCCGCACCACGACGGTGAGTGCGCCGCGCCCGTGCTGCTGCAGGCCGCCGCCGTGCGCCAGCAGCCGCGCCTGCGCTACTTACCCTTCCCGCCGCACCACGACGGTGAGTGCGCCGCGCCCGTGCTGCTGCAGGCCGCCGCCGTGCGCCAGCAGCCGCGCCTGCGCTACTTACCCTTCCCGCCGCACCACGACGGTGAGTGCGCCGCGCCCGTGCTGCTGCAGGCCGCCGCCGTGCGCCAGCAGCCGCGCCTGCGCTACTTACCCTTCCCGCCGCACCACGACGGTGAGTGCGCCGCGCCCGTGCTGCTGCAGGCCGCCGCCGTGCGCCAGCAGCCGCGCCTGCGCTACTTACCCTTCCCGCCGCACCACGACGGTGAGTGCGCCGCGCCCGTGCTGCTGCAGGCCGCCGCCGTGCGCCAGCAGCCGCGCCTGCGCTACTTACCCTTCCCGCCGCACCACGACGGTGAGTGCGCCGCGCCCGTGCTGCTGCAGGCCGCCGCCGTGCGCCAGCAGCCGCGCCTGCGCTACTTACCCTTCCCGCCGCACCACGACGGTGAGTGCGCCGCGCCCGTGCTGCTGCAGGCCGCCGCCGTGCGCCAGCAGCCGCGCCTGCGCTACTTACCCTTCCCGCCGCACCACGACGGTGAGTGCGCCGCGCCCGTGCTGCTGCAGGCCGCCGCCGTGCGCCAGCAGCCGCGCCTGCGCTACTTACCCTTCCCGCCGCACCACGACGGTGAGTGCGCCGCGCCCGTGCTGCTGCAGGCCGCCGCCGTGCGCCAGCAGCCGCGCCTGCGCTACTTACCCTTCCCGCCGCACCACGACGGTGAGTGCGCCGCGCCCGTGCTGCTGCAGGCCGCCGCCGTGCGCCAGCAGCCGCGCCTGCGCTACTTACCCTTCCCGCCGCACCACGACGGTGAGTGCGCCGCGCCCGTGCTGCTGCAGGCCGCCGCCGTGCGCCAGCAGCCGCGCCTGCGCTACTTACCCTTCCCGCCGCACCACGACGGTGAGTGCGCCGCGCCCGTGCTGCTGCAGGCCGCCGCCGTGCGCCACATCGCCGCGTACGCCGCACGCCCACGGTCAGGGTGCCGTCAATACAACACCCCCCTGCACACCACGTCGCCATCCCACACACACGTCAAGCATTACCCACACACATCCCGCACATCATCCGCACACATCCCACACACATCACACATACACACATCCCGTATACAACCTGCACACGTCCGCGCACACACGACGCACGAGGTGACTCAGCGGCACGGAATCTTGGCCAAGCGGTTATCTCGCGATAGCAAAAGCTTTAAGTGTTTCTGATGAATGTTTGTTATGCAGGTATGTCAAAAAATGTTTGCTCTCAAGTTCAAGAGGGTAATTCATTATGTTTAAGTGCACCATGACGAATTCTTTAATTTTTAGTTGAATCGGGTCATTTGAGCGACTAAGTTCACATTTTAAATTTGTGTGTTGTGAAAAGTTTACTGTAAGGTTATTCAATTATTGTGATCTTGTGTCTTAATTCAATAACTAAAGGTGCTTTAAAGCCAATAAAAATGCCATTAACACCAGCACAAGTTGCACAAGCAGTAGCATTAATTGACCAAGGGCTGACACAGCGTGAAGTTGCTATTGTGCTTAACGTACCACGGTCCTCAATGCAGTATTCACTGAAACGATACCAGGAGACAGGACGCTACACCCGCAGGCCAGTCAGTGGGGGCGTAAGGTGCACATCGGCCCGGGACGATCGTTTTATTGTTATGGAGATTTTGAGAAACCGCTACCTGACCGCTGTTGAGATACGCCAGCGGCTCCAAATCGCAAGAGGCGTTAATGTTAGTGAGCGTACGGTGAGAAGACGAATGGAGGAAGTGAATTTAAAAGCTCGTAGACCAGCACGAGGTCCAGAACTTCTCAGACAGCACCGAGTAGCCCGACTTCAGTTCGCAAGAGAACATGTCAATTGGACCCACGAGCAATGGGCTAGAGTGTTGTTCACAGATGAGTGTCGAATAGCTTTACGTGCTCCACACGGTCGAGAACGAGTGTGGAGAAAAAGAGGAGAGAGGTTTCTACCCATTACCACCACCCAAACTGTGAGTTTCCTTGGAGGCTCAATAATGGTATGGGGAGGTGTAAGTTCCGACGCACGTACAGAGTTGGTCATCGTCGATAATCGGCTTATAGCTACTCGATACATCGAGGAAGTTCTTCAGGAGCACGTAATTCCTTATTCGGGATTCATTGGACACGACCAATTCCTCCTCATGCACGATAATGCACGCCCGCACGTCGCACATTGTGTAGAGGAATATCTGGAAGAGGTTGGAATACAAAAATTACAGTGGCCAGCTCGTAGCCCGGACTTAAATCCAATTGAGCATGTATGGGGTATGTTCAAAAGAAAGATAAAGTCCAGCTCCAAACCGCCACAAACTCTAAATGAGCTCCGAAATGCAGCGCTGGCCGCTTGGGACAGCATACCGCAAGTTGATGTCAGAAACATCATTCAAAGCATGACAGATCGAATGCAAGCGGTTATCAGGGCTAGGGGAGGAAACACCCGATATTAAAACTGATAGACAATAAAGAAACAGACTTAATTTTTAACTTTGTAGTGTTTTTAAAGTGACAATGGAAAGATGTTAATTTTAGTGAAAACATGTTATCTTGAAAAGAAAAATTTCGGTGAAGTAAACATTAAATTTCTACGTTCTAAAACCATTAGAGACACTTATTGAATGCATCTACCCTTAATTTACTGTTAAAAAAACGTTTCAGTGCAAATAATCAGCAAATTCACGAGTGGCCAAGTTTCCGTGCCGGTGAGGTACAAAGGTAATTTCGAATTTAAACTCTAAACGCCGCAATGTCAACATTTGTGATGTACAGTATGGACAAAATTTAATAACAAAATGTTATAAATGTCAATTAATCAACTAGAGATTTTCTCTAAAGTTTAAATGGGTCTAGTCTCAAATACCAGTATTAAAGTTCGATTCCATTCCTCCAGCGCGTAGCGTGAGAGGCACGGCACAAACGTAAGTTTTCATACCTGTTGTAGTGTACCCCCACGACAGTATAAAGTACTTAAATTTACCATAAAACAACGGATTACAGCCATTCACAGATGCCGTCAGACAAATTACAGAATGCACGCGCGTTTTTTTCGTAATTATTTGTAATTTTTTCGTATAAAAACCAGCCCTCGTTGCAAGTTTGCCCTAAAAGAGAAATCAGGTTATGTAGAACAGCAACCGAGAAAGAGATTCATTATTCATATTGCTCTTTGTCTAAGCGTGTACTTTGATGCATCGCCCATACAGACATGTACAGACATGTGCCTGGACAGTCGAAACATTCTTACTGAATAGTGGTTAGTACCAGTTCGTGTCTGTGCGGAATACACTACGTTGACGTACGTTAAATGTAAATTAGTCCCATAGAATATGTAATAATGTACGTAATAATATTTTATATCTGTTCTGTTACGTGCCTGCCACACGACTGATTGCAGATGTGAACACAACTTAGGCATTGATCGATGGGCAAGCCTATCGCAGTCTTGGTGACGCGCTGGTAAAGCTCGATCGATAATCGTAAATTTCATACAACGCTAACAAGTAGTTGCTTGCTTAAAAAAAGTTGCTATAACAATTTTAAAAAATAAGTTATTGGCTGGCAAGTGCACAAAATCGAAGAGTCGCGAGTTAAATAGCTAATAAAAAGCAAACATGGTAACTTTGGCAATAGCCCTCCTATAAGGCAATCTGAATCTGTGTAGCGGTGGTGTAAATGATCTTGTAGTAGTGGTGTAAGAATATCTATTGTCTAATACGTCCTAAGAGTGTCGTAAGAGGCTATAAATTGAAACAAACCGCAAAATGGGCCGCAGGATTTTATTACATAAACACTCACGCCTGTCACCCAGAGGGGTAGGCAGAGACTATGGACTTCCATTTGGCACGATCCTGACACACCTCTCACGCTTCCTCCACATCCATATACCTACACATACACGCTTGTCGGTTAAAGGTACTCTTGATTTGGCTCATTTTCAATATATCGCCAATTTGGTTGATAAACTTTCGCCTAGGGCGTCCCTTCCCGACTCTGCCATTCACCTCTGCAACATAAATTTGCTTTGTCACATTTTTTTTTGGGTTTTATTATTAACAACTAAATTATTAAAAAACTATGGTTGTCAACCAGTGGCAATTGGCAAATACCCTCTCGTGCGGCAATCTATGGGGGAGACCTATGTTCAGCAGTAGATTTTTGATAGGCTGTATTGGAAAGAAGGGCTCTTAAGTAGGTGCGTTGGTGGTTATAGGGGCTGCGGCGGAGGGGCAGGCTGCGGCTGCGGGGGAGGGGGAGGCGGAGGGGCAGGCGCTGTGGCGGTCGCACGGCGGGCTGCGGCGGCTGGCGCGGCGCCTGCGGCTGGCGCGCGCGGCGGGCTGCGTGGCGCTGGCCGACATCGGCGTGCCCGACCTGGGCTGCGCGCGCCCGCCCGCGCAAGTACACCTCGGTACCGTACCTTTTTTCATTTTAATACGCAAAGAAAACTTTGTACCCATTCTTAAGCATATTGTACCCCCGGAGTGTGCAGAAAACTAAACGAACAATCGCTATTTTGGACTAGCAAATAACAAATCGTTATCGACATGCGACTGTCACCAAAATGTAGAAGATTGTCAATTTAATTAATGCATATCATCAGTTTGTTTTTAATTTTTTTTAAAACTGGCTTTACGGCTCTGGGTTCTAACCCTTCTGAGCCTCATCCGTAATTATTTACGTTCCTAAACGAATAGTATATAACGTTTTACTAGAGAAATCCGTAGGTACCAAAGAGTATATAATCTAATAAAAAGTACTCTGCGATGTCAAGTCTAAATCCATTTTGTTTCTGAATCACAATTAAATTCTAGACAATGGCAACCGTATAAAATTATTTTAATTATAGATAGAAAAATAATACCACATACCACATAACCTCAAAAAACATATTACAAAGTTACTAGATTCTCTGTACTTTTAAAAATACAGATGTTAGATACTCCGTACCTTTATAAATATAATTTCATCAAGTAACGTTATATTAAATGTTACCAGCCCAATCATGTAATGATATGACCATTGTCCTTTAATGCTACACGGGTTACAAATACGTTAAGCTAATAAAACATTCATTTTTACGGTCATACTGTCAATATCAATTGTCAAACACATAATATTCAAAGTGTGTAGTAAAATTCACTACTTTTTAATAATAGTCTATGATCAAACAGGCGCACAGACTATACATTGTCGCCAGAGAATTTTGAGATGTTGCCCTCAAAATAATTATTGACAAATCACTAAAGGAGCTGTGAACTTTGTATGATTTGTAATGTTTATTTTTCAATATTGTATGGAGTATATGTCAAAGCAAAGAAGCGTTTAATTTATATTTTGTTAGTTAAATATCTGTGTTTTAGATGTTATTTTTTTACATTTTACGCGTGTACAATATTTGTGATGTGTAATGTTTATATAGTTACAATCACATTTAATACAATCATTAAATAACTAAATAAAATTAAAATGTCTCTCTGTATTGTCGAAATATTATATACCTTTTATTGAGCTGAGCTGAGCTGGTGGTGTTTTTGGATTTGCACGCCGTTAAGACATGAATAACCATTTATAAAAAAAATTGTCTGTCTGTCTGTCTGTACGAGCTTTTCTTCGAAATGGCTGAAACGTTTGAAAATAAACTTCACAAACAGAGAACAATGCTAGGAGTGATAAAATAAAGGACTTTTGATAATTATGTTATATCTAAATAACGCCGTTAATAGATCCTATCCAAGCAAAAATGTATATCTCGCCAAAATCCGGCCGATGTTAACTTGCACTCGCATAGGTATAAAAATCTAAATTCAAAAGACTGGTATGTCCTTTAGATTTTAATCAATCGTTATGATATTTTTGGCATATTTTGCAAAAATAATTAATACCAAATATAATCCACATCGTACCTATGCAATTTCTGCTAGATGTTTTCTTTAATGAAAGTACTTAAATGAAATACATTAGTAAATAGTTAAGTTACAAATATTTAATATGTAACTGGAAATATTTACCGTGCGGAGGTGTCATAAGACAATCCATCGCCCCATTAAGTCGCGTGATATTGATCTTGAGGCTTTCGATAGAGAACGATATAATATATTCATTGGGACGCCCCCTAGCTAGATGGAGCGACGATCTGCGCAAAGTAGCAACAGAATGCGTGAAAATTTCAGAAGTTTAAATTTGCTTGTGTTGCCTCTTACGACACCTACGATTTGGGGAAATGGATTTTCTTTCGATACCACAACACGGCATATAGCTTATATAAGGATTAGTGGTAGCGTCAAAGTGCGATACATCAGATCTAATTATGTGATTCCTAATCAGTCTAACAAGCTTGGTGATGCAACGAGTCCTTTTAATGCGAAAGGCCCAAGCCTAGAAAAGAGTTAGGGCTGCTTGTAATTTAAAAAAATTAATATTTTAATGAACATGTTTGGTTTTTCTCATTTCAGTACCTCCGCGAAAGAAGAAAGAAGTGTGCGGTGTAGCAAAACCTTTAAGCGAGGTTTCCTTATCCTCTAATGATTCGGTCGATAAAACAACGGAATATGCCAAGCCTGTTAATAGTAGATTGCAATCACCTATAGAGACCCATTTTGCTGTTACACCTACAACAGAAAGCAAAACAAGTTCACCTGCCAATGGTTTCACCAGCGCCGAAGGTGGAAAACTGCTTTGCGAGGAACTTGATAATCTAAACATCGGTGACGATTTGATCCACCGAAGTAAGGAATCTATTTGTGCCAGCGACGACTTCGTTGCGATACATTCGTCTTCTAACAGTATCGAGGAACTTAAAAAGCATAGCTCTGATAAATCAATAAGTAAGGAGTCGATTTCATTCTCCGACGATTTAGTTCCAATACACTCATCGTCAACTAGTGTCGAAAATTTGAAATTTGATCCGAAAAAGAAGGAAGATGATAAAGCAACGAGTCAATTGAATGATTTATTGAGTCCTGCTGAGGAGTCTGTATCGATGTTTACTCAGTTGTCAGATAAATTGACGGAGATTACTGAAGGAGATAGCGGCGTTGACACCGCACACAATTTCTCTGATGAAGAGGCATGCAAACCAGAGGTATATTATTTTTACAATCAGTGGTATATTATTTTTACAACCAAAGATATATTATTTTTACAACCAGAGGTATATTATTTTTACAACCAGAGGTATATTATTTTTACAACGAATGGTATATTATTTTTTACAACCAGAGGTATATTATTTTTACAACCAGAGGTATATTATTTTTACAACCAATGGTATATTATTTTTACAACCAGAGGTATATTATTTTTACAACCAGAGGTATATTATTTTTACAACCATAGGTATATTATTTTTACAATCAGTGGTATATTATTTTTACAACCAGAGGTATATTATTTTTACAACCAGTGGTATATTATTTTTACAACCAGAGGTATATTATTTTTACAACCAGAGGTATATTATTTTTACAACCAATGGTATATTATTTTTACAACCAGAGGTATATTATTTTTACAACCAGAGGTATATTATTTTTACAACCAGAGTTATATTATTTTTACAACCAGAGGTATATTATTTTTACAACCAGAGGTATATCATTTTTACAACCAGAGGTATATTATTTTTACAATCGGAGGATTCTTTTTATTTACAAATTATTGAAAAATTTAATAGTCCTCATTTCTTCTTTGTTAATTTTTTTATAGAATAAGAGTGAAAAACGAGCACACGATCCATCCGATGGTAAGTGGCTACTGTGGCCTATAGACACCTACATCTATCCTCCATTATGAATCAAAATGTAGATACGCTGTGTGTACTAAGATAGAATTTCCTTGTGACCTGTAAAAAATGGCCTTCAGTTCTCTATACTCACAATATGAAACACAGCCGCATTAAGCTGTTATTTTACGCTAGTGTTCTGTGAGGCCGTGGTCCTCCTCGGTTGAGCCGCGATACATTCCTGCCGCAATCAGCTAGCTAGCATAGATAAAGTGTGGCTTTACCATGTTAAAAAAATGTTAATTAATAAATTAGGACGACGAATAAAAATAAAGGAATGAAATGAATTGTTAACTTGCAAATCATAAACAAAATTTAATATAATGTAGGAATTACATTTATATTATACTGTTACAATAAGTCAGTATGTAACTTCTATTTACAGAAATGGACTATTTTGGATCTTCAGTTTGGCATTCCATTATTTGATGAGGCTCTTTGTGAACGAGTATGTCAAAGTATTGTAGATAGAATAGCAAAACCAGAAATGTGAGTTAATTTACTGTTTTTGGTCAAAATTATTTTAATAATAATATTTTCAATCAATTTTAATTTCTGTGCTTCAAGCTGTAATGGGTCGTTACTTGTACGGTTTTCTGTTAGCGTAATAAGATCACATACAATTTACAAATAAAAAATTATTTTAATTCAATTTAATTGTTTTATAATTGAGTTTTCTGAAGTAAAGTCATTTCTATATGTTTGAATACTGATTCTGATAACGCACTTCTCATTAAGTGTTTTTGTTACATGTTGTATATACCTTTACATTTAACTTTTTAATTACTTTGTAAAGCAATTGTAGGAGTTAGTTTTGATTATTGAAATACATTTTATTTTGCAGACTAGAAAAAATTAAAGAAGACAACGAGTTTATTCGTTCGGATGTACTAAAATTTGTTTCGCAGTGTCAGGTACTTTATACATTTATTATTATGTTTGTGTTATATGCTGACAATCCAATAGAAATTACGATTATGGTTGTATGAACATTATGGATCAATCTAAAAATGCTGCTGTTGAATTAGATAAATATATATAATAATTTTGTATTATCACACAAAACTCAAAAGTTTTCTATTATACTTTGAATGATCCATATTAAAATTTGCTGTGTGTACTCAGGGATCGCGGTTTGCACTTTGAATTTTCCTTTTTTTAAATTCGCCGAGATAACTACATCCAGCCTTACTCATAAAATATACATCTATTAGAAATCCTAAAAGTTGCTCTCTCTCTCTCTTCACTAAATAAAGAAAGATATGTATAGAGATAATTAATCAACGATTATAAGTAAGGCCGTAACCATTTATTTATTTTTCCAGTACTATCCCGGCGAAGATATGGGCATTGTTAAGCGCGGTACTCTAGTTCCCTTGCCGAGGAAGAATTTGGTGTTTGAGAACGGGAGAATTACAGAGTGGAACGGGAAATGATTGTATCCTTTCATACAACCTTAGAAATTGCAAAAGAGGCAACCGCCTAACTTAGAAGAGTTGCGTTAATAAATATTATATTTTATTTGAAAGAAACATCGCAACGTGCGAGTAGATTATAAGAAAGTGGTAATCCTTAAAAAACACTTTGAATCCGTCGATGTATCCCTTTAAGACCAATTTCATTCTGAATATTGGGTTGTAACTAATTTTAAATATTAAGTAGAACAATAAAATTTTAAATCCCGACTACCGTAGACATAATACAGAAAGTTATTTTCATAAATTCCAATAAATGTAGACATAACCCAAAATGTTATTCTCATTGAATATACGATTATATATTATATAAAGAATTTAATTTAAAGCAGAAATTTTTATGTGGTAATTGTTATGTATCTAAATATTTATTTTTGTTTATGAATTATCTCTTCAATAAAGTTTAAAACATGTGAAAAAATATAAAACTTAATTTCAAACAAGCCATTGTTTCTCGATCTGTTTTGCGATTCCCTAAATACTAAAACCAGGCGCTTTTTACGCAGTTTGCGGTTAGAGTCAGTTCGCCTTGCCAAGAAAAGTAGTATTTTTGAGTTAATGTGGAAAATTTCATACTATGATACATGTGAAGACCGTCCATGCAACCGTGTGCATGATTAAAGAGCCCTTGTTATGTGTTAGTTTAAAATAATTATGCATAACATATTATAATTGGAAAATAATAATTTATTTAAAGGTTTTTAGTACGTGCCCTTTTTAACAAGGATCGCGATCTCTGTTTTGAGAAACAATGAATTAGATAATAGATGAATCAGGTCTTCGTCAAATTTACACGTATTTATGTATATATGGCTCGCCTTCTGTTGGGGAGAGTAGGTGCTTGTAATATATTATGATTTATTTCATAATATGCGATTCGAAAATAAATCTACATGCGTCATGTTTAACTCGACTATAAGCACTTGAGCATATAACTTATTAGCAAATATTAGAGATTAATTAGTGTGAGGGAAATTAAATTAAAAGAACCCACTAGTGTAATTAAAACTAAATTATTTGTATTATTTAAAGTTATTTTTATTTACAAGAGTCATTTATAGATGTTTATTTATTTATAGTTAAAAAGTTTAGCTCTTCATGAATTGAACATTAATACAAGTAATGCACTATGTAATGTTTGTTATTATTTAGTGCTGTAGTCACAATTGTTTGCCGGTAAAAAAAATTTTTGTCCAACGAATCCACTCAAAAGTGATTTTAACTACAGACTTCGGTCAAAAGTAGTTTTGAGTTTAGAAAAAAGTCTGCAGTCAGAAGTACTTTGTTACCGACCAAAGCCGATTTAAAAGTACCGCAACAAACTATTTTTTCTTTATATAGGATCGGGTGACAAACGAGCACACAGTCCACCTGATGGTAAGTGGTTACTGTGACCCATAGACATCTACATCTATCCTCAATAAAGATTCAAGATGCAGATGCGTTGTCACCCGTGAGGACTAAGATGGAATGCCTCTTTGCCAGTAAAAAGCGTCTCCGGTTCTCTACACTCACCATACAAAACACAGCGGCGTTAAGCTGCTATTTTACGCTGGTTTTCTGTGAGAGCGTGGTCCTTCCCCGTTCGAGCCGACTCATTCGTGCTACAACCATAATATAGCTGCAGCATGGCTCTACCACATAGAGCTGCAGCATGTGTGTTCGACAGGATGAACTAATGTCCGCGGTTTATGCATGGATATTTAAAAAATAAATACAAGTATCAGCAATAGTGGGTTGAAAGTTGGTCTAAGCGTCACCCGAAACTTTATTATTTGTGTTATTTAAAGAAAAAGTACAACAATCGGCCATTTTATGGTGACTGATCAAAGGCTGCAATATATTTTAATACTCACGCATTGATGTAGAGAGATTTTAGTTTATTGTACTATGTTTTCGAGATTATTGAATATAGAAATAATCGAAAGGATATTAGTTGTTGTATGGAAACTAAACGAGTGTCATTATATTATACCACTTCTCGCATATACTTTAATATATAAATGTAGTTTCTTGTTCTAATTTGGTTATTTTACAACTTAACATATCGACGTCATCCGTGATTTTAAAATAAATTCTGAAAAAGAAAATATAAATATCTTTTTTTATGGCTTTTCAAACACATTTTTTTTTTCATTTCGCTGCACCAAATGAAAACTCCAAACGATTGTAATACAAACGTCAAACCATTCGAGAAATACTTGGTTTTGGATAATGTAAAATATATGAAAACAATTGTCATTGTAAGACATTGCGGCCGTTAATATTTTATTAAATAACATTATAATTCTTAAATGTCCACATCCGCTTCCCGCCGGGCAAACCCGGGGCGGTTACGAGTTGAATGCGTTAGTTGTTTAGACGTGTGTCAGTATTTTTAGCACACTCCTAGTCTTGCCTAGGTCGGTGTGCCGTTTATTGGACTATAACAATGAGAGAATAATAATAATAATAATAATAATTTATTTGAGACAGCCAACAATGATCCATTACAAAATTAAATTTGTACATTGCAACTTAAATATTAATGCTTATTATTTGTTAATGAGGGCTATTCTAATGTGCACAGTATTGTTATATGTTGCAATGTTGAAAAACAATGTTACATAATGTGGACGTGTTATAAAACTAAAGTTACACAACATGTTACTTAATCTGTACGCACCCTTACACAATATAATGTAATTGAGAAGTTGTTTTTTAATAAAAGTTTATCAGTATCTTGAGTATTATATTAATACACAAAACAATGCGTCAGAGGTTTGCTCTTTAATTTTTTGCACATTTTTAACTCTTCTTCTTTTATGAATATCTGTGGTTTGGTGTATTTATTTTTAACTTTTACATTTTCCGAACAAATTAACTTCCCCACTACGAAATCTGTCAATTATTATACCTCACTTTCTAGTGGCGCCGCCCTGGTGGCAGAAAAAGTCGTGGATGCCCTCATTAATCAAATTATTAAATATTATTATTTAGATATTAATAAATTTGACAACCTACTTAAATTTCACTAAATGCACAAATATTACAAATAATTTAGATAAGTTTATTCTATTATTGAATAGAGAGTGCACCTGTGCTTACGCATACACTTGGGCACTATAATCCTATCCTGATCAGATGGCTAGTCTCCGTTGAAACTGACCGCCGTGACCGAAATTTGGTCTGGAGTGATTGGTATTGCCAAGTGGCACGATTAAAGCGAAATATCGCGACTCTCAGCTAATGTTAAAAACATTCAGAAATACTAAAAGACCTTTGAATTGTTTTGTAGATGTTCACCACTCGTTTCGCCGCATAACCTTACAATTACAACGGAATAAAGTTAAACTAGTTTTAGTTTGCATGAGTATGCATGGCATGAGTAAAGTTGGAAATATTTTGACAAACGCCTATTTACAAAAATATTTAAGTTTAAGGGGAGTCAATTGTCAGGATACTTTAAATTCATAAAAAATATTATTTTCAACTAACTAACAACAATAACTCTCAGGCGTCATCCTAATACAACGCGAATGCGCGATCATCGCAAGTTCGCGCGAATTTTACTCGTACGAAGACAATCAAATCTACTGATACAAAGAATCAAACATACTGATCTCGAATGGGTGGCCTAATTGACATTCGCGCGACAATCGCGTCGTGTCGTCGGGCAGCGGGGTGAAAGGTAGGGACCCGACCCATATTTTTATTGTGAAATTCACCACGTATCGGTCTCATTTCCAACAAATCACATTGCGACCAGCAGAATATGTCATCAAATGTATTAAGTAGGTATAATATATAGTGTTTTGCATTAGTAGTTGAAGGGAAGAGAAAACATCGAGAAGGGTTTTCAGTTACATACTATCAGTGCATCGTAATTTGTTTCACTTAATAATTAATAATGACTTTCGCTTGAGGGTGAGGCTCGACCATCGTCACCAAGTTTATTGAGTGACGGTGTGACAATTTCGTTAGCGAAAAAGAAAGCCATGTGATGATGAAGATGATAATGTTGATGCGAGAAAAGTCACATCTAGACAAAATAAAGAGACACAGGTATCGTCACAGGACATTCAAGATGCCAATTTATATAAACGCAACATTTTAGATTCTAACGAGTATAAATGTGACCGTCACATTACTACGTATTACCCGAATTAAATTTTGAAAACGGGAAACGAAATGACCACGTACCTACTAACACGTCGTAACGCCATTCTGCGACAATCACTGCTGGACTACTGAATACTGATTACAAATTATAATCATATTAACGCAGCAAAACTATCAAATATGAAATCAAGATTGCTTGTAGTACGTACCTAAAACTGTTTTTTTTAGTTGCATAAAATAAAATAACTAAAATAAATAAATACTTGATCAAAATGTTTTCAATGTTGATATCTCTGGAAGACGCCGTTCGACGTTTTCCGCGCCTGAAGATAGTTTTGTTAATTTTTTAAAATCATTATTTACATCATATTTACAGAGGCGGTGACTATAATGATGTTGTATATATGTAAAACATGCACATATAAAAAGTATAGTTTCCCTTTAGAATAGAAATTGGCCAAGTTGTGGCCAAAATATAATTTACGCCGATCAGCGTCATTCGTCTAAAAATGACAATTTACCTAAATAATGCCGTTGTGTGTACACCCATTCGTTGCGTTTAACCGTTAAACCATCCAGCGACCCACTCAACTATACAAAAAAAATCTATCGGTCGAGCCATTTTCGAGTTTTTGCGAGACTAACGGACAGCAATTTATTGCTATACATATACCTATAGAGAAAATATTGAAGTTCTATTCAGTATTCTTCTACCCTAATGTTATTTATGACGTACGACTACTTGCATAGCATGACGATCGTCCAAATGCGATTCTCTTGTAGTAAAAAAAATAATTAAGAAGTTATGCAAAATATTATAAATAATTTTGAATTGCTATAATTTTTAATAAGACCATTTA